TATTCTAATAAACATTATACTACAAGCATCTCCAAAGTACTAAAGTAACTTACCGATGCATGGTTACTGGATATGTATATTTTTATAATTAAATAAACAAATAAGTGGTACTAAAGTAACTAAAAGTTCATTCCGGTGGTCTTACAAATAACAAGAAAGGACTTACAATATAACTGTGTACTATACATAAATAACTAAAATATTTTCTCCCTGACGGGTTGTCGAAGCCCAAAAACTCATAGTAGTACTTTCCACTATATTATTAATATACTATAGTACTGAAGATATTACTAAAATGTATGCGACGTGACAAGCGGAAGATAATACTGAAAATATATTCGTTACAATTTGTATTTTTGACTTAGTCATTTTTTATAGTTCTGATGTATTCATTTGAAGTACAGTATAAAATATAATTATCAATAAACTAATGTTTAATAAAATAATAACTAAAAAAAAAACTATAAATATATTTTTGCACTTTGTTTAAGAGTAAAATTTATTTTCAAATTTTTCAAACATCGCATAAAGTGTGTGATTTTCTATGTATATACAACCATAGTATACATACATGGAACGAAAGTCTATACTTTGGAGCTATCAAAAGAACTCTCATTCTTCAGCAAAGCTTCTATTCCGTTTTACGAGTTTCAATAGGAAGGACAGCGAAATGCTACGAGATGTCAGAAGCATCTGTTTGCATTGTCACATTTATGACTGAGGGGCATTAAGAGATATGTGCAAATGCCGCGCGTTTATAAGGGCGGATGGACGAGATGTATGAGCTTGGGGGTGAGGAAATCCCCTGGCTTAAAGCATCCTATGAACTTCAAGACACAGATGCAACTGATTCTGATTAAAATAAGGAACATAAAAAGTGAGGGACGACTGTTTAGACTGGGATGTTCATTTAATATTCGACAGTCTCCTATAAATAGAAAACAATTGAATATAATATGTACATATAAACAACTATGTTTGTACTAATAATAGTCTACTATTAGTAGATTTTCATTGCTATAAACTTATATAGTAATAATTTCTTATATAACACGTGTTTCCTACTTAATTGTTACTATATAAATTTTTAGTAAAGAAACTTAATATTACTACAAAAGTTATATTATTAAGATTAGTATTAGCAAAATAAAAAATATTGAAGATCAATAAAAAAAATCCTCATGGTAACAACAAAATCAACAACCAACAAATACTTGAAAACTGATTGAATAGATTCGTGGTCTGCGTTGGTGGTTGTTATCCCACTCTATTTTCGCTTCCTTTTTGGGAGGGTGAACGGTATCAGGGAAACTGCTGATAATCTGAGCACGTGGCAGTGCAACCCCCAGAGAGGCACTCGCATTGTGCTATGGAAAATCAACGGCTTTTCATATTTTCCTGTTTCCGAATTTCGAAAAGACAATAAAAAGCAGGAGCCAACAGCGATAACACTAGATTAGTTTTTGTTTTATTTTTGTTTTCTCATCACTTGATTCTGCTATCGTTTGAGTAGTGTGTATGTAAAATATTTGCAAGCACTCCACATTCCATTATCTGTTAATAGGATCGATCCGGAATTTATCGAGTCATCCAGATCCTCATAGATGGGATAATTCTCGTACGCCTCTTCGTTTCTTCTTTTCGATGCGTTTCCTACGACGGTATAATTGAATGTCGCTGAACTTGAAACAAAGACATTACTTGCGGTCCTTTGGACACCCCTGCTTGGGCCACGTGACCCCTCGGATTACCGGGATAATCTCTTAAACTCGAAACTCACATACTGCGCAAAACCCTCCTCTCGCAAACGTCAATCCATCTAAGCCACCCAATTAATATAAAATAAAATCCGCATCTGGTAATAGTATATTCACTGGAGAATATAATAGACAACAGCTTTATTATGGTAACAAATCAATCACACTCCCGTTTGCTTCAATTTCAAATATATTTTATCATTTTTATCTGTATTGATGAAAAAGTTTTGTATATAAAAATATTCTAATAATATTTATAATTTTCGACCAAAATATTTGACAATAAGGCAGTACAGAAATATAGATAAATATCACTTATTTATAACCGATGTGCCGCTTAGAAATACATCAGTTTTCTTAACAACAACAGAATGATTTACAAATTAAACAAAAAAATAATATAATATTAAACGATATCAAGAAGATAGGCAAGAAATAGTCCATTAAAAACTATTAAAGATAATTAATATTATAAATAATTACATATTTGGTATACACCAAAATAATTACTTTATACTAAAATAATTAAGAACATGTCAATGTTATATATGCAAGAACATTAATAATAGCTTTATGAGAAAAATATCAGTATTATACTTGTTTGTCATTAGCTATTTTACAAGCATAGCTTAGTGCGTGATTTGGTTCTGCTAATATTTTAGACTAATTGATGAACTAAATACATACAAAAATATACCGCATAAAATAAAACACGGCTGTATACAAATAATTTAGTAGAAGAAATAATAATAAAAAAATATTAATATTGAAAGCAACTTATAAATCAATAAAATATAAATATATACCGTTAAAATATCAATATTCAATGAAACTTTGAACTTGTTTTTAGCATGGAAGTTTTTGTTTGTTAGATTCTAAGTACGAGTTTGAAGGGAATTGTGTTTTTCGAAGAGGATGTAAGGGATGAAAAGCGTGTGACGTGAGTTTGATGTAAGACTGGCAGAGGCGATGTAATAGCTGAGAGCGGTATGGCGATTAGAGGGGAAGGATTTTGAGTGGCAGGAATCGCGCGCCACTGCTGCACTAATCTGTGTCTGAATGCGGCAGGAATCAGGTCCATCGGATCGGAAAATAACACACACACACATCTATACACGCATAGGGAACACAAAAAGGGAATGTATTGAAAGGGGAGTATGGATTCGTTTCAATGGATGTGTAGGCTTACTACGAATTTTGAAAGAAAGCAAATATTCAGCACAATGAAGGATAGAAAATTAACAACATTGCAGTAAAAACAATAATGCTTTGGTAAAATATAATTTAAAGTATTTGTATTAAAATTATAAAAAAAACTATTTTAATAATAATAATAATGTTTATTGCATCAGTCGTACAAAAAAACATATACAGAAATAAAAAGAACAAAATAAATATATAAATTAAAACTGTTGGGTAAAGACAAGAAAACATTCCGTTCGCACTTAGAAAAATGGACTCAATTTTTGAATTTCAATAAATCGTCTCTAAATTTGAGGTGCGTCTTATAGTCCAAAAATAGGTATATATTAATAAATTTTACTCGTATAGTGAAATATTCGAATAAATGTAAAATACGATAATGCGGTCCATGCCAGAATAAAAAGTATAACTTCGTCTCGATTTTTAACGATTTTGATTTTCATATATATGGTTATTACTTTTGTTTGGCTTTTTAGTTAGAGACATGCAAATGTTATTCAATTTTGGATAAAAATTACAAATATCATGTCTGAACACAAGTTTGGGAATATGTGCTATTTATATAATAATGGTTGCTCACAATATATTTGTGTTTTTCATTTATAGCAAACACAAATTATATTTGCAAAGTATAGTCTGCTATAAACAAAGATGACAAAAAAAAATCAAAGATGGTTAATATATTTAAAAATACACATAATATCATATTGTCACTCATGCGAAACGTCGCTCGTTAAGCGCGTCATTTTAGTTATGCGAGGTTTCACAGTATATATACAACTATGGTTACAGTATAATTACATATTTATATATTATTAATACAGTAATAAGTAATGTACTTTAAAATAATATGAAATAACAAAAACTTCGCAATAAATTAAAGTATTTAGAATGAACATATATTGGAATTATGCTTTATATAAGAAGATCTTTATAAATCTCTTTCATACTTTAAATATTGTCAATATATTTTTTAGCTATAAACTTGAATTTAATAACGATCAAAGGCAATTTATATTTTCCTCTTTGTCTGGTTTTATGGCACGCAGACCCGAAGTTTAGGTCGTGCGTTAGAGTGGTGTAATTAAGGGGCACTCGAAGGGCGCCCTCACGATCCAAGCCAATGGACGGATTAAACTCATCCCTCGCCCTCTGGAATTTGTTGCGCCGCAGTAAATGCTTTCAAACAGATTTTTCGTTCTTTTTTTTTTAATACCCTATTTTCCGACAGGGGGATAAAAGTGGATAAAACTTTGGCCGAAAAAAAGAGCAAAAAAAAACAGAATTACTAACACTTTTTCCACAATATGTTGCTTTTAAACAATACATTTTTATTTGTTGGTTTTATTATCACAAATAGTCAACCATATTAATTGTTTTCAACGCTTATAATAACATATAAGATTATTATTAATTTATATACAGAAATACTGCGGGAAACAGCTTCCCAACAATTTTCTTCATTATTATTAGTTTACAATGGTTCTTTAGATAATTGATGTTTAGTCAAACTATAACTTTTATACAGTTATTTAAATGAAATAAATTATAAGACAATATTTATAGATATTTCATTGTTATTTTAAATATATTATATATTATTACAATAATTTTCATTATCAAATTTATATTTAGAATATTAAAATATGATAAAATAAGTGTATTCTATACATTTCAGAATATAAATTAAACAAAAATCCTGCTAGAATAGGACTGATACTAGGTTACGACGATAACATCTTGATTTTGTTCACTTTCTTATTATTTTGATACCGGATAATTTAGAATGATGATTATCTAAAAATATTTTGCCAGAATGCCGTGACCAGGATTCGAACCTGGGTTACTACGGCCACAACGTAGGGTCCTAACCACTAGACGATCACGGCTTGTTCGGTAGCATTTGCCATCGATTTATCCTAACTTTCTCTATTGACAGGTGTTTAATTATTAACCAAAATCGAGCTGTATATTATAATTATGTTTAACCGCAACCGATAATAAAGCAAATCTAATTAATGAAAACGTTTGCAATTCCAGGTCATCCTCACTTTTTCAATCAACTCTCGTGCGGCCTGGACATCATTTCGATGGCCGGGGAATGGCTGACAGCCACCGCCAATACAAATATGTTCACCTACGAAATCGCACCGGTGTTCATCCTGATGGAAAATGTGGTTATGACCCACATGAGGGAAATCATCGGCAGCAATTGGAAAAATGGCGATTCCATTCTCGCTCCAGGTAAATTTAATTTAATTTCAATTGAAATCGATTTGCAAATACAAATCTGATTTAGATTGTAATTAATAATGAATGTACGGTTCTTTTCGTTTTCCAGGCGGTTCCATCTCGAACCTGTACGCCTTCCTCGCGGCTCGCCACAAGATGTTCCCCAACTACAAGGAGAAGGGAATTGCAACCATTCAAGGGCAGCTGGTCATGTACACCTCAGACCAGAGTCATTACTCCGTGAAATCCTGCTCTTCCGTCTGCGGCTTGGGCACAGATAACTGTTTGATGGTTCCATCAGACATCCACGGCCGAATGATACCTGCCGAACTGGAACGTCTCATCTTGGACAGGAAGGGCAAGGGCCACATCCCGTTCTTCGTTGCGTGCACTTCCGGCACTACGGTGCTCGGCTCCTTTGATCCAATCAACGAGATTGCCGATATCTGCCAGAAATATGGAATGTGGCTTCACGTTGACGTAAGTTTATCGCGACAAACGCTTACAAAAAAAATACAATTTCCTGATTCCATTTTTTTTCTCCCTCTTCCGCGCAGGCTGCATGGGGTGGCGGCCTTCTCCTCTCCAAGAAGTACAGGCATCCTCGTCTCACTGGAATCGAAAGGTAACTGAACATTTCATACCATCACTAAATAATTTGGACGTTTTCGAACCGTTCGTATTTTCCCCCCATGGCATCAGCGACATGTAATCGCTTTTAAAGAGCAAAAGCTTGTCAGAAGTCGTGCTCTAATCCCTGATTACATGGGAATCGAACAGATGTTCTCGCGCACCCGGGCAAATATCCACCAGGATTAAACGTTCCTTTAATTGAACCAAATTGCAACGAAAAATCCCAGATATTTGCACGAACGAATGAAAAATGGTTGTTGCAGTATTCGCTTCATAACTGACGTAGCAATTAATCTAAATCCCATGAGCCGGCGGCGGTGGTTGTGTAACTCCATTTTAGGCGGCTGCCGTTCAGAATAGGTGGTTTAATGAATAGGCTAATGCAACCGCTCCGACACGTCCTCCGTTAATTAATGGGATCTTGCATTAATCAAATCCGCCGTTGGCTTTTGTAATCGCGTTTTAGGCCATTGCGTAAATGGGGGCGGTATTTTGAAACGGCGTTGGATGCCTGCATTAACGTGATATACGGTCTTTTTTTGATCCGACTTTCAATTAAAATTTAAGCTTATTTTTACTCAATTCAATTTGAGTAATTCAACTTCAACAGCTACCAAAAATAAATTCAAAAATAATTTTTGCCCTAACGATTTTTTTTGCCTAACAAATGCATCCAGAAAAGTAATTCGTTATCAATCAATTTGTTCTATAAAAACAATAACTTTTAATGTGTCTTTATCTATATTTTTCTTTTTAACATCTTTGAATTTAAATGAAATTATTATTAAATCTATATAAAAACGTTCTTCTTCACAAATTAAATTAAATCTAAAAAGCTAGTAACGTTATAAACGTTACATGATTTATTGTTTTGCAAGTTGATTTTTCAAGTTATTTGATACTTTAATTTTTATCCTTGTATATATATTTTTGTATACATAATTTAAATGTAAACTAACTAATGTTAAAACTAAATTAATATTATTATTTTCAAATGCATAAATTATATTATGCGTTGAACAAAAATGCTGAAAGGATTAAACATTTTTTTAATAAAATAATTAAAGTTTAATTAATTCTTACAACCTTATGTAAGTATTAGTAATGATTGAAGATATTCGAATGATAACTTTAAAACATTTAATCTAACATATACCTACAGATAAATTATATGATTTGATGATTCTTCAAAAATATAGTAATCGGTTCATTGACTGATAAAAAAAAGTAAATCACATCAGATATTGATTTACGATATTTTTAGTAACAATTTATCGCCGTCAAGTAACACCTGTTGTTACAAATTTATAAACTTTCATTGATCTACATTATAATGATAAAACTCATTATAAACAACACATACAATAATATAATACGTACAATAAAACGAATATATCATATTTTTCTATGGGTAAATATTCATGTCACAAATTAGTTTGAAATTCATTTTGTGAAGATAATTTATTAAAAACAAATAATTTTCATCTTTTATCTTTATTCAACATTTAGGTAATATACTTAAAGTAATACTTTGATAACATAAATATTTATACGGAACTTTCATTATATTTGTGTGTGTGTTATTGTTTGTATTATATGTATTTATTTTCTTATTAGTCAATTTATTTATCTTGTATTCATCTAATATCAAATTATATAAAATGTATGTATTTAAAAAGCATGCATATTATATGATGAAAAAGGAGAAAAAATTGTTACATTTTCTTAAAATGAATCTGATGCAAAACTTTTAAAAATTAATTTCTTTAATTTGCAACATAATAATAACTTATTTCAGTAAACAGTATTTTTAAGAGACTTTAATTAATTCTTTAGTTAGAAACAATATATTTAGAATAATTATATAATTGCAAATAAAGAAGTTACTAATTAAATTTGGTGTGTAATAAACGGTTACAGATGTTCTGTATCTAAACGGAAATCCGGTTAAAATGCGGTAGCCTCGTCGGATTCGCGGGCCACAGCGTCCGGAAATTAATCCTCGCGATAAATGGGATGCCTCTTATCGGCCGCACACTCTCACCACCATTTAATTTGCATAATCCAATGTTTTTCCTCGAGGCGTCAACCCCTCAAATAAAATCAATATGGTCCATCATCATCCCCCCGCTGTGTACATAAAAAGGACGGAGATAAGCACAGCCCGATTTGCATCTCGGCCTGCATTTAGTGCCTTTCGAAAACACTCAACACTTCGGTGCTGAAGGCGAGAGAAAGCCACTTCGTCACTCTAAATCTATCCTCTATGAAGTGAGGATGGAGAGAAAAAAAAGCGAGAAATAATCCCTCTATACGTGGGGAAGGCTGGGATTCGAGTAGCCTGTCAATTGCTTTTAATATCAATCAAATCTTTATGTACTCCCTTTACCTTCCAGGGCCGATTCCGTCACTTGGAATCCGCACAAGCTGATGGGAACCTTGCTGCAATGCTCCACCATTCACTTCAAAGAGAACGTAAGTTAAAAACATTTACATTACATTTATTATTTAACGTTAATTTTTATATTTACAATCAATTTTAGATTAATTATTACCTATTGTATTTGTTAGAATATTAACCTTTCTCTCACCTTGTAATTATGTATATTGAGTTTATAGTCTACTTTGTCTATTCACACATCTTGTATACGAATACAAACTTTTTGACTCGACAAATAAAAGTATTAAAAGTTACTACCGACTTCAAGAGTTACTTCATGTATTTAATATCTTATGGTGTCTATAAACTAGTTGAAGAGTATTTGTCAAGTAACAGTAAAGTATTTGAATACGACTACTTCTAAAAATACAAATTCCATAAGACTTAAAAATATTTATTTTAATTTACATTTTAAAATTTCTTTAATTAGTTAACAATTTTGTCTATAAATTCTAAAAGTATCTTTTTTATTAAATTGTTATTTTTATCATTGATTTTTTAATACACATATTTTTTTGAAGTACATATACATATATACTTGATGATCTTGAAAACTTGAATTAATTTTCCAATGATTTCATTTTTCAAATAAGTAAATTTTCTAGAATATATGATAACATTTCTTGAATATGCATAAATTATTTGCAAAAAAAAAAAAATTCTACATATTTGTTGTTTTCAAACTTGATTTTTTGGTCCTCGCTTAGTGCGAATATTCTGTTACGTCAATAATCCGGACAGTTTGAAACCGAACTAATTGAAGACTTTAAAATCATATGAGAAATAACTGCACAAAAAGAGAGAGTACATGTTTATGTACAAAAATAACAAAAAATAATTTAGAACTTATTTTAATTTTCTCAATTAAAGTTTAGTTTGTCTTGAAATTTTCAAGCTGAGGGTATTACTGCATATTACTGTATATTTATATAATCAAATCCTTGTGGCTATTACTAATTTAATTTGTGGTATCAATATAATTTAAGTAAATTAATTTCGTGGATTAAACAAACAGAATTAACCAAAGTGTTCGCATTTGCATCATAAAGTTTAATTTCGAGCACGATCGGCGCATTTGAACTACCACTATTTATTACTTTGGAATAGCAATATAGAATTAATTGAAAATGGAAACAACGAAAGCTGACGCGTTACGCAATAGTTAGCAATTTCTGCTGAAGCGAGGGCGCATTATTTAATCCTGCCTCCTGCTAACATCCCGTCCGGAATAACAGTGGAACATATTGGAATGCTGTAAGGGTGGAGGAGGAAAGGTGGGGGACGACGTGGAAGCAGCTGTGGAATTTTCAATTTAGAATTCCAGGCCAACCCCTCCAGCAATAACCCTAGTGCTCGTAAAGAAGAGAATGAAAAAAATACGAGTAATAACAAACGAGGAAAATACGCAGTGTGCATTGAACACGACGTTCATCATTTGTCTTTCGGGCTATTCAAAATATGCAAATAATTAGATTGGATAGAATGTTTGTATTTTTTTTATTTGCAATTCCAGGGTCTTCTCATGAGCTGCAACCAAATGGCAGCCGATTATCTCTTCATGCAAGATAAACTTTATGACGTGGAATTTGATACCGGAGACAAGGTCATCCAGTGCGGCAGACACAACGATATCTTCAAGTTGTGGCTTCAATGGAGAGCTAAGGTACATTTATTTTAAAATGCATTACGAATTATAAATATACGCTTTTCAAATTAATATAACTTGAATTATTTTTTTAACGTTGAATTAAGTTTGTAAATTTCGTAATCTTCTCGTAAACAAAATTGTTATGTTATAATCTCCTTTCAATTCAAAGTAAATATAGCGATTTTTGGTAAACAAATCCATGTTTTTCATAATCGGGATTATAAGATGAAACGGACGGATTACGTTAATCAATGGTGTACATCGATTAAAGAATATCTATATCAATTTTTTTTACGTGAATCTGATGCAAACTAATTCTATTCTGCCAATTATATAAGTAGAATCAAAGTAAATTAACTCTTTTTTGTTAATTATATACGTACTGTTCAATGTTATAAAATAAATTATGTGTATATTTATTCAATTTCTTCGTCTACTTTAACAATATTAACTAACTTTGTTCAATTTGAATGAAATTAACAAAAAATTTAAAAAATCAGTTTCAAGCTAAGGTCAATTTTTTTATAAAAAAAAATAAGATTTTAACTAACATTACGAATATTTCACATTACATTAAGAAGTAGTTTAATAAAACAAATAATTTATATAGAAAATAACTTGTTCTATTGTTGTAAAATATAAAAAAATAAGTGTTATAAATAAGACCTGATTGAATGAACTTTTATCATGACATAGACAATTGTTATTTAAAAAAAGTATAATTGTAAACATAATAGAATGATTGAAATTTAATAGTCTTCTTTAAATATACTCTAAGAATGTGTATGCAATTACGATAATTATATTTTCAAGAGGGTAAAAAGTAATTCCCCAGGTGAGGCTCGAACTCACAACCCCGGCATGGCTCACGACTACTGTCTTATAAGTACCGTGCGCTAACCAATTGCGCCACTGGGGATATATATATTAAACACAAAACTGTGCTATACTAAATCCACGATAAAATAAAAGCAAAAAATTATCAATTGTTGAAATAATTAAGCGATAAGCGTCGATAACACTACCATATTTGCCAAAGCGAATATTTGGCACTCACTTGAGTTAGGTAAACCTCATTAATCAATATTTGTGTATGCATATTGACGTGCGTTTGGTTGCATGCATAACAATACACAATATTAATTTAATACTGTTGCTATGGTAAATTAAACACATATTAAGTAAAAATATTATAGAATATGAATCTTGTAGAAAGAGATTTTTGTCGTAATTATTTTACATAGAACAAACAATTGATAACTACAATATTTTTGGAAAGAAAAATGTAATTATAAAACAAGACAAAAGTCGTCATTATTGTATTAGCAATTTTGGATATTGTAGAAGTTATTTGAGAAATCTTAGTAAAATACCAGACTAGAATGAACAAGCTAAAACTAAGAACAATAACAGTAACATTAGAACCAGTTCAAAACAACTTGTTTTTAAAGTTTGTCGATTTTAGTCAACTAATTCCTGAATTATTGAGGCTCATATCCATTATGGATAAGCCGCCCCTAACTATAAATCTACATGTCTTATGCTAAGAATAGTTTTCAAAGATTAAATTCTTACCAATTATGAATCAAACTTAAAAATATCGTGATTAACTAAGTAATCAATAGGTTTTTAATTCAATAGTATGGAAAATAACATGATATAAATTATTAATGAATGTAATAATTAATATTAATTTAACTGAATAAATACATTGTTAATTAATTTATATGATTTGTATTTATCTCATGGAAAAATATTAGGAAATAGATAAACTTGAATAAAGTTATTGATTTTCTCGATTATTTTATCGTTAAGTTTAGAAGAAAACGGTATTAATTGTTAATGTCTTGTGTTTAGGGAGATGAAGGATTTGAGAAGCACATGGACAAGTTAATGGAACTTTCCGAGTACATGGTGAAACGCATCAAGGAACAACCGGAAAAGTTCTACTTGATCCTGGAGCCGGAGATGGTCAACGTCAGCTTCTGGTACATTCCCAGCCGTTTGCGCAACGTAGCCCATTCCGCCGCACGAGAGGCAGAACTTGGAAAGGTGATAAATTACAACAAAATATTCTACTATTCAGCATAGAAACGACTTTGGATTAGCATAAATACAAGCCGATCACGCCACATACCAGTTTACAGTTAACGATATTTCTATACTCATTATTTTCTACTCTTAGATCTGCCCGATTTTGAAAGGAAGAATGATGCAGTCCGGCACATTGATGGTCGGTTATCAACCGGACGACAGAAGACCGAACTTCTTCAGGAACATCATCTCATCTGCTGCAGTCACCGAGAAGGACGTCGACTTCTTGCTTTCCGAGCTCGACAAACTTGGAAACGATTTGTAAACAATTCCCTAACAGAAGATAAAACAAACAAAAAAGACAACCTTTACTAACTTTAAATAATATATATATATATGTGTGTAATAATCGTATTTCCTCAATTCAATCACAAAATTCCATTAAAAAAAAATGTACACATTTCGTCGTAGAAAATAATCTAAACGTACAACAACGACAGCAACATCTTTAGACGAGAGAGGAAAAAAGGCAAGAAACCAGTTTCGAGGAATGTCACTGGATTTGCATATATTCAACCAATATTATCAAGTGGAAAAACATATCATATGGAAATCTGCATAAGGTTTTCATTTAAATTCGCGTACTTCCACAGTGGCGATTCGAGAATGAGAGAATAGAAAATTTTGTGATTGGAATTCATCTTCTTCTTATAATATATATCCAAAAAAAACAAAAAATAATAAAGGGAAATGGGATTCCCCTGACAATTAAATAAATATATATATTATATTTAACTCGTTCTGTATCTGTACTGTTGTTATATCACCGAAATGAAATTATGAGGAGAGTTGTTATCGCTGTCAAATATATTATAAATGTATAAAAAAAATATATGTGGATATGATACGTTATATAAATGTTAGTTAAATGGGGGCCCCTGTGGTAATGGGCCCGTCTGTACGTAGCGTAAATTTCTAATAATGTAAATGTACTCGAAGTCATAAACTAAAATGTGTAGCTGACGCAATAATGTTGTATATTAGATGAAATTATCTAATTATTATCTTCTTATAACTTCTGAACGGAAACAGAAGCGGGCCAAATTGCTGCGATTTTCATTTTCGAAATTTCGCCTGCTTTTCATTTCTTTAACGAAATACTTATGCTTGTTTATCGTGGATAATAATAAAAAACAATTTGATATTACGTTGACAACTGTAAATTTAGTTATTGTTTTTTGTTTGCAAAGTTTATTCATTTAGGGGAAATTATTTAAGGACTGCCCGACGATGTATTGAATATTTAAGGGATGTGTTATAATGAATCATGTATAGTTATGATTGTTTAATGTTTTATGTTAGTATTTAAAAAAATGCATATATGTACAAAAATTGAAACAACAAAATTCACAAAGTCTTCCAAAAAAAACCTATATATACATATATAAATAAATAAATATATAATCACTTTAAATTAAATTGAATAAAATTTTGTCACATGCGATAAACTTTTACTCAATTTATTTGATGTATTTCATTGTAACTTCAGTGTATAAAATATATATATATAATTATACAGGATGAAAAGAAATAGTGTTTAGGTCAAATTTAGTTAATGTTAGACGCTTACACTCATTGTCTGCAATTAATGTACTGGTCGAATATACCAATAAAATGCATATACCAAAAATCTCTTTGCATTTCTATCGTTGCGTAATGAATACTATTTATTTATTTAAAACTGTTTACTCATATAACCTGTATGATAATGAATGCGCATAATTAATTTTGTACCATGAGATAAAGCTTGCTTAGAGGCCTTGAATTCAGTTTTTTCGTGGCCAGGCTGAGAAGATGAAGTGCTTCGTGGATTATCCGGCATCCTGCCATTTCCCCATCGAAAACCTCCCTTATGGAGTGTTCTCGACTGTCCAAGACGTAAGCATTTCATTCAATCAACTCATAACATTTATTTATATAGATTTATCTCTTATAAACAATATACAAAATGGTATCTCATATGCAGGATATCATAAATTAATAGTAATTAAATAAATACCAATAAATATCCAAAATAATGCATAATGGCAAAAGTAATAATATTTAAATTTGATTTTGTTAAAAAAAAACAATGCTAATTGAATAATTTCGAAGTATACCAATTAAACATATGTTTAACATAGGCAACCAACGTTTCATTTAAATGCTTACTTTGTAAGTTATTTAATAGTCCAAAAGGATGTTTAAAGCTTAAAAATATTGTATTAACAGTTGGAATTGGAATTAACAGTAATGAGTGATTACATACATAACAGGAGGTTTATATTTACCAGTTATAGTAATTCAACTTTTATAATTACATATTTAATTAATTTATAAAGTATTCATTCAATGAAAAAATCTAAACTTATTTCACTTAATTATTTCACTCTGGCTCTAGCCGTCGCAAAAAAACACCCTAAAAAAGTGATCTACACATCTGTGCACCACATATCCAACATACAAATTAAACAGAAACTCCATGGTTCATCAGGAATAAACAAACACACGAAAATCTACATATAGATATGGTCGAGGATACAATAGCAACATTTAGTAATAGATACCAAGATAGACTGGAGTCACATACTTATGTTCTGGCTATTGGCCTACTCGACAATAGTGAAACAGGCTGAAGCGTTGCAAACCACTAAATTTAGTATATATATTTAAGTAATTATTAATGTTCAAATCATAATGCTAACTATCCACCAGGAAATACCTACCTAATGTCAACGGCGATCTTAAATTTACTCAATGTTCACATTGATGAACAGATTGTGAATAAAATTATACGACATAAAAAAATCTTAATTATTTATTTAAAGATATTCATGTTGATCCAAACTTCTTTGACACAATTATTTGATTAATATTTTATGTAATGTGAAATATAATTATTTATAAAGTAATCTAAATGTTATCATTATGTTTCTATAAGTATTATACCTACAAATCAATTTTTACTTCAGTAATACGACGTTCTTGAATACACAACGCATATTGTGAAAAGACCCAAAATGAAAGTTTAACAAATTTTACGAAATGCGCAATTGTATAAATAAAACCAAAGTTTTTACGTAATTGTTTTACCAGTCAATTTTGTATATCTTTAAACTCATTAAGGATTTTTTAATACTTCAAATATATAAAAAATATTTATATAAAAATATTTTAGAAAGTTCTAAAAATATATATTTCAGTTCGTTATTATTTGAATATGTATTTTCCACATATTACTGCTCATCAATAAATTGTTCATTGACCTACTTAGAAAATTTGAATATTTCTATATCAGGTATACAAAAAAACCTTCAGTTAAACGATTTATTTAAGTATACAGTAAGCAATTCAGTAGATGATTTCGTAACATTACTGAAAATATTCCACAATTGATATTCTTTAATATAATGAATTATTTTACAGCCGATTCATCGTATTGGTGTAGCCATTGGTGATCTCGTTTTGGATTTAAAAGAGATCAGTCATCTATTTGATGGACCTCACCTGAAAACCGTTCAACATGTCTTTAAAGAGGTAATAAATTTTACAATTTAAGTAATTTGATCGTATACAAAACAACTTATCAATTCCAGACAACTCTGAACAGTTTTATGGGTTTAAACTGCGCAGCATGGAAAGAAGCTAGAGATAAATTGCAAAGCTTACTGAGCGCCGACAATCCAACACTCGCAAACAATGCAGCCCTTAGGACAAAGTAATGCTAACTAGATTTAGTTATTTTCAATTATAATTTAATTGTTTTTTAGGGCGTTCGTGCCTCAATCTCAAGCTACCATGCATTTACCAGCAAGAATCGGCGATTACACAGATTTCTACTCATCCATTCATCACGCAATGAACGTCGGAATTATGTTCAGGAGCAAAGAAAATGCCCTCATGCCAAATTGGTAATATTAAAAAAAACTATATATTAATTAAAAAACAGAATTAACTAATTAAATTTATTTATGAACAGGAAATATTTACCGGTTGGTTACCATGGTAGAGCCTCGTCCGTTGTTGTTTCTGGAACTCCAATTAAAAGACCAAATGGACAAACGTTACCAGTCGAAGGTTAGTTATAAACTTGAGAATTTTGTAGTTTTAATAACTACCATAGTTTTATAATTATTAATTATTGCATTATAAACTATTGTTAAAAATGTTACTAATTAATAAATAAATAATGAATCTCCATGACAAGTATTTATACTAGTTACTTGGCAAGTATCGCGTTTAATTATTATCATTATTTTAATAGGTCAAGCTCCAGTTTATGGTTCTTGCAAACTGATGGACTTCGAATTGGAGATGGCTTTCTTTGTTGGTGGACCTCCTACGCAACTGGGTGAACCTGTCGATATAAAAAAGGCTCAAGAGAGGATTTTCGGATTCGTCGTAATGAACGATTGGAGTGGTAAATGGCATTTTTTCTTATTTTCTCGTGGTTGTATTAATTTCTTTGTAGCTAGGGATATTCAAAAGTGGGAATACGTTCCACTGGGACCATTCACTGCTAAGAATCTGGGAACAACCATTTCTCCATGGGTTGTAACCACTTTTGCTTTGGAACCGTTCAAGGTGAATAACTTCCAGCAAGAGCCAAAACCCTTCGAATACTTGGTACACGACGATCCATTCAACTTCGACATAAAATTGCAAGTCGACATCGCACGTAAGAAAAAGAATGAATAATTGAATTCCAATGTATCTAACGTCTATTTTTAGCGAAAAACGCCAATACTTCGACGACCGTTTGCAGATCGAATTACAGATACTTGTATTGGACGGCAAAGCAGCAATTGGCTCATCACACTGTCACCGGATGCAACGTGAATCCTGGAGATCTCTTGGCCAGCGGCACCATCAGCGGAGACGTGATTAATTTCAAAGATAATTGAGAACAAAATATTTATGCAATTATTTCAGACTTCTGATTCGTTCGGGTCAATGTTGGAATTGTCGTGGAAGGGAAGCAAAACCGTCGATTTGATGAACGGAGAGCAGAGGAAATTCTTGCAGGATGGAGACACCGTCGTTATGAAAGGATTCTGCGAAGGGAACGGATTTACCGTTGGATTCGGAGATTGTGTCGGTACAATCTTACCAGCAAATAAGATGTAAACTCATTATGATTCTGTTAGACTGTTTGAAAAAAAATATACGTTAATTAAAAAAAAATAATCAACTGGGAAAATCTTTGTATTATTGGGCTGAAAAAAAATGGGACAAGCGAATGCAATTGGGTCGAAAGTAAATGCGTGCGTGAGAAATATTACGTAATTGGAGTAAAGAGATGCATGCATTATTGTAACGGAATAAATATTGATCCTCTGGTCAGAATATATGTAAATGATACGACCCAGTCGATGTCCCTATTGTCGAGGAATCATAAGGTTCAAGTTCGAAGATATTCTGGGTTCCTCGTTGGGCAGTATATGAGTATTAATAGCAAATACCGTCCATTCGAGTTTTGACCATACTTGCAGCTAGATCAGTGTACATAAAAATAAATAAATGAATAGTACCTGGGGTTTACGTTTGATGAGCGTCGCTTTCAGTGATAATTTATGAATGCGGGAATCGATTTATTTTTATTCCGTACAAGTTTTTTCAAGGATAATAACAAACCCATCGATTCGCGCATTTGTCGTGCGCTCCTCGAAACAGTCGTTTACTTTCACCGAAAGCAACGACATTATGGCATTAAGCGGTAGTTTGGCACACGCAAACTCTCATGAGAGAAGCGATCTCGTTGCCTATTGGAGTGTACCACTGTGCGATGGCGTTCATACTGTCGAATTTGAGCACGGATCAACAAGTGGTAAGAGAGTTCTTCGAGTGGATGGAAAAGTAAAGTGGATAAACTTAAATAAAAAACAATCCGAAGATTGAAATTTCATTTTTTCAGGAGATTCTCAGACGCGAATGGATGTTTAAATTGGTCGGTGACGAGAAATTCACCATCGGAAGCCATAAAACCAAATGCGAGCTTCGAGTCGATCCTCTTCCTCATTTCACTTTTAGTTACAGCCTTGTTGTGGACGGAAAACCATTAGAGAAGTTTTTGGAAAAGCAAAACAAATCATTGAGGACCTGGGCAGTCTTATCGAACGGCAAGAGATATAGAGTAGTTTTTGGTAATAGATATTTTGTATCCAAAAGCAAAACGTTGTTACAAATCCAATTGCAGAGAAGCAGACTTTAAATATTTGGGTGAACGGTAACATCATCGATGCTGAAAATGTTTTCGTGCAAAACGGAACTGAAATGCGCTTCAAGTTGGGAGAAGTCGACGCTTTGCTACGTTCTTCAGCAATCGAAAAGCAAGGAATATTACATCATCTCTATTTACAAGGAAACAGAGTAGAAGAGGATGGAGAATTACCGCATTGGAAGAGATAATATAAATTATATATAATTTCTATTACCAGTACTTCTAAATATATTGTTATTAAATAAAAATGAATCAGTAAAGAAAAAAAAATATTCCGGTACCGGGAATCGAACCCGAGCCTCCTGGGTGAGAGCCAGGTATCCTAGCCACTAGACCATACCGGATTATATTAGTTGTTATTGGATGTCCATATTTGCCTAATAATTTATTATTACAAATTCTATAATAAATTAAATATCGTTAATTTTAATTCATTATCAACATTTCCTAGCAAAGTTAAAATGATTAAAATAGACAAACATACCAGATACTTGAATAAACATACAAATAACTACGTTAACCTAACCTTTAAAGAAGAAGTAAACAACATTTGTTTCTTGAACTAAACATGATTTACAATTGCATATTAATTGTATTAACTTTAATACCTCAATTTCATGCTTCTCTTGAAGGTGTTTGTGATAAAGATGTGAAAGGCTGTGAACTTAAAACAAGGTTTGCATACCAATTTCTGTTGACTTTGTTGATAAACAATTGTTTTCAGATATATATTATATGACGTTAATCCTCCTGAAGGATTCAATTTACGTCGTGATGTTTACCTTAGGTATGGAATATTCGTTCATAAACTTGTACAAAACAATGACATCAATGTAAAACTTGTACTCCCACCATGGTCGAGGATGTTTCATTGGAAGAGATCAGAAGAGCCAGAGCATTTACCTTGGGGCTTGTTCTTTGATATTGACAGCATGCAGAAGTTTGCCCCAGTCATTGAATTGTACACATTCTTCAATGGTGGAATTTAGTTGAAATAAAGTGGTTGAACTTACCTTGAAGATGTTCTGTTTTAGAATTAAAACCCACTTATGGAGATGTTATTATTGATGAGGTTTACATCTTGCAGCATTATCAAGATATGTTCACAAGTGGGAATTTTGAAGATAAAATGTCCATTGAAGATTGCAATGAGCAAATTAGCACCAACTTCTTCCATTATGACAATATTACTTCACACAATATCAAGTGTTTATCATTCCATGGATTTACATCACAATTGAGTTCTCTTGTTCACAAATCTGAAGCTCAGTGAGTTAAATTAAAGTACCTGGTCATTGTTTAATGAAAGTTTATAATTTAAACGTATTTTCAGGACCATTCTCTTCGATCACGCTGAAGTACCTTTACATGATAGATTCGGTGATAGAACTTATTGGGAATGCAGACGAAGCATGCGATTCAATAAAGAACTGATCTTCATAGCTAACGAATTTAGGAGACAATTCCTTAACTCGATGGATGAAAAAGACGGAACTATATTACCTGATGATTGGCGGAATGAAAAATTGAGGAGAAATGCATTGGGAGGTCCTTATTTGAGTGTGCATTTGAGAAGACGTGATTTTGTTTGGGGAAGACCGAAGCATGTTCCAAATATAAAAAATGCGGCGAATCAAATTCAAGAGAAATTACATCATTTACAATTGGATAATGTTTTCATAGCCACTGACGCTTCAAATAAAGGTTCAAGTATGCATTTAAAATAGTATCTGTACTGAACCACCTTTCATTTTCAGAATATGAAGAATTGAAAGAACATCTTTCTAACTTCAACGTCTTCAAATATAATCCAAACAAAGAAGTTAAAAAGAAATATAAGGATGGAGGTGTTGCTATAATTGAGCAAATAATTTGTTCATATGCAAGATACTTTATGGGAACGTACGAAAGCACGTTTTCCTTTAGAATCCAGGAGGAACGTGAAATTTTGGGTTTTCCCGAATCGACAACGTTCAATCGGCTTTGCGGAAATGAAGAGCCCAATTGCGAGAAGACCTCGATGTGGAGAATCGAGTATTAACTCAAAATAACTGAACACGTATTAACAGTACCATAAAATTCTTATTTATTAAATATATCATGTAATAAAATATATGTAGGAAAATAAATATGTATTAGTTTGGTGGTTTGCTGCCAATTAAATCTTGTTCCCTCTTTAAGTCCATTTGCTTTTGCTGTGTCTCCAAATATTCAGCCTTTTCTTTATGATGTTGCAACCTTAGGGCCCTCTTCTTCAGCTTTATACTCTTATCATGCAAACCCCTCATTTCCTTTTTAATATTCGATAATTTCATGTGGCAAGTGCTGATTGTATCAAACATCTTTTGCAGATCAACAGAATTCTGTGTCCAAGAGACTTTTAAATTTTCATCATGAATCTGCTCAACCAACACAGTCTGTTTCTCTCTAGAAAATATTATTACTAAAAAATTCTTTAAAACTACTAAAATTCACTTACAGCAACTCAGATAGTAATATTTTTGTTATATCCAATTGTGGTTTATATCTGTTTACTATACCATTTGATAAATTTGCAATAGTCTCAGGTGTGTAAATATTTGTACCATTTTCAACTGTTGAAGCACTAGAAGAAATATATTGTAAAAAATAATTTCAATAATTGGAAAATAATAATTACGTTTCAGAAGACTGTTGCACTGCTTCTGTATCCATTTCAAAAAATTCAAATAAAAACAAATTAACACATCAAACTCATAGTACAAATATGAATATACCATGCAATATAGAAGTATATTTGTACCATTCATAAAACTAATGACGTTTAATGAAAAAATAAATAAACAATGGAACTATCATGTGACAGTAGTTCTAATATTAAACAAACATTTATCAATTTTATTGAAAATATTTTGTTGATAATACAATAATACCTAATGAAGATATTTTAAAATTAATTTTGTTATTTTAATCAATACTCGATAGTTTTTATAGACAGTAAATTGAATTAACCTAACAATAATAGTTCTAATCCTTCAGTTTGTTTTGATTCCACAAGAAAATTGTTTGTCATTTTCCCGATTATCATCTTGAGAATATGGATAAAAATTTACGACAGCAGGTTCTAACTTTGATTGAGGAGAAGGAAGCTTTGGAGAATGAGATTCGTGAACTGAATCAGATTTTGGTGAAGGTAAATCTTAACTATTAATGTTATATTTCCACCTATTTATATTATATGTTTTGCAGAATAATGTTGGAATGGATGATCCCTTAGTTGATGCTGAGGGTTTTCCTCTAAGTCATGTGGATATTAATCAGGTTCGGCATGCCAGACATCTAATAATCCGTAAATATCTAATCAGAATATAATACATTGGAGTAATGTTATTATTTATATTTATTATAGACAAGCAGAATGATCATAAGGCTCTGATGAATCAAATTGAGCAAGGAATCAGTGAATACTATGCAGAGCCACATGAGAATATGCCAGAAGAAGAAAAAATTGAGGCACAATTCACAGAACCATTTGCTCGTATCACAATTGTGAATCCTGGATCTCCAGCTTACTGTGCTGTAAGATTTGTTTGCATATAACAGATAAATTATTCGATTGTTTACATTAATTGTGTTGTAGGGTATAGTTGATGGAGATTTGTTAGTACAATTTGGATCTGTGAACTCGACCAATTTCCGCAATGTAAGGGATATTGGCACTGTGGTGCAGCATTCCGAAGGACATGCAATTCGAGTTTCAATCCTGAGAAACAATCGCCTGATGTGCGTACAATTGACTCCGAAAAAATGGTCGGGCATTGGTCTTCTTGGTTGCACTGTAAATCCATGCTAAACCTATTTGAATAATATTTATATTTGTTGCATTTTTTTTTAAATCTAAATAAAAAATATATGTCTATTATTGATTGCAGTATGTTGATTTCATTATGAATTTTGTAAACAAAAATGGTTTGACGTATTTGCAGTCATTTGCATTTCAAAATTCAAAATATGAAAAAGATCTTACAAAAAACATCCTTATTATTTTTGGCAATTACTGTAAATTACTTGTTACATTTCCTTTCATATTTGATCTTCTGTGGCGACAAAAACAGGGAGTGCCTCTTATATTGAGAGTCAATGATAAATTGGTTTTGGGACGGCAACGATTGGATGATTATGGAGGAGTTACTGGTGAGCGCGGATGTGGAGCACATCGTCGATCTGGTCATGGATAAACTGTATTTCGCCGTTACCTATTCCGATAAAACAGAGCTGATCAAGAACACGAGGGATATTTTCTATTTCAACGTCGACGAGGAGCTCATTTACATGAACTATTATTTGGATTTCGGGCCTTTAAATATCTCCTGTTTGTACAAATTCTGCATGAAACTTAACTCTTACATGCAATGCAGCCAAATTAATAAGATTGTCCATTACACCTCGAGCGATCCTAATAAGCGTGTGAATGCTGCTTATTTAATCGGTGCTTATTGTATTATATACTTGAACATGGATCCACGTTTTGTTTATAGAAAACTTTTGGATTCTGGTGGTTCTTTCAGGTAAAGTAAATCACCTTTACATTAACATAATTGAAACTAATAAAATTTATTTCCAAAGGCAATTCGTTGACGCTTCTCAAGGCATTTCACGTTACACTTTAAAACTAATCGAATGTTTGAACGGTGTACAGAAGGCTAAGTTCTTCAACTTCTTCGATTTTAACGACTTCAATGTTGCCGAATACGATTTATACGATAAAATCCAAAACGGTGACTTCAATTGGTTACTGCCCAGAAAATTTCTTGCTTTGATCGGACCAATAGACAAGGAGATTTCTCCAAATGGACACGCCCCTAGTTTTTATATTAAATATTTCTTGAAGAATGACGTCCGCACCGTCGTTAGGCTTAACAACAAACTTTACGATCCTTATGTGTAAGAAATCAATTGTAAAGTGAAACATAAAAATTATTTATAAATTCGCAGATTTTCAAAAGCAGGAATTGATCATTACGATTTGTTCTTCCCGGATGGAACCACGCCCCCAAAGCAAATACTCATGCGCTTTTTGCAAATTGCTGAAAAAACTTCAGGAGCCATAGCGGTCCATTGTAAGGTACAACTCGTAAACTATATTTAATTTATTGACTTTTGTAATTGCATCACATTTCAGGCAGGATTAGGAAGGACCGGCTCATTAATTGGTGCTTACATAATCAAGCATTATCATTTGTCGGCGAAGGAGGCAATTGCTTGGATGAGGATATGCAGGCCCGGATCTGTGATTGGTCAGCAGCAGGGTTGGCTTGAGAAAATCGAACCTTGGTTATGGAAACAAGGTATATTATACAGGTAGGATTTATTCATTTATGATGGTGACAAAATGTATATAATACGTTCACAGATTGGAACATTATGGTGAAGGTGATAAGTTGCCGCACCACAAGTATGGAATTTACAGTAAAATGTGGCAAATAGAACGGAAGAAAATGATTCTAATGGCTCATAAACGAACTCTGATGGAGGAATCAAAGAATCCGCAGAAGAATTTCACTCAGTACGAGATTTACAGGGTGAAACAGCGTGAGAAGGAGCTCCAGAATCTTTTTAAGAAGATCAAAGAGAACGAGCAAAAACCACCTGCTACCATTAACGAAGCTTGCTATGCGAAGAAATTCACTACCCGTTTATCGACTGAAAAGACCCAAGGGGATCGATTGAATGAAATTAAAATGAGGAAATATTTTAATAATATATCGCATAACGATTCGAATGCCTGCACGGTTTCAGGAGAAAACAATAACGCTCGATACAAAGCCAATCTGAGGATCCAAGGACTGGATGAGTTCCAGGATGAATACGATCCTTCTAAATACAGTCGCGTCTCTGCAAAAGCGAAGGAAAAGTACTACGATATCGACTAACTACTGTAGAGATAAATAAAATATTCTACTTTTAATGAACCAATTGTGATAAGTACTCTAATTATTTTAGAAAGTTTGTTCTCATTAAAAAATTGTAGAATGCGGTTATTAAACTTGAACTTTATTAACATTTTATTTGCATTTCGTTGGTTTGTCTTTAAATTTTTAGGAACAGGATAATGAAATACAATTTAATTTAGGGGAATTCCCTTGTCATTTAATGTTCCCTTATAAATGCTAGCTAGTTATACTCAAATAAAGCAAATTTGAAGTGAAAGTGCTTGTAATTTTGTTACATAATGTAGCACGACTCCTATGTGATAAGTGTAATATTTATATTTATTATCAGAAAGATAAAAATGCATTTCTGATACAAGACCTGAGAGGAGTGACGGCTGGTGACGGCAACAAATTGATGACAGCAATTAATATTATTAAGTTGGCAGTTGTGTGTTAAATAAAAACAGTGTTTGACATCTTAAAATGGTAAGTACGAATTTTAATGTTTTTAACGCGTACAACGTCATTAGTCGAGTATATACTCATGGAAAATGAGTTCGTATCAAGTTGGATTGGGCTGGAATAAGCATTATTCGAAAATATTTAACGGGGGAATGGTAAAAATACGCCCAGAATTCGCTTTAACCTCAACCCAAACTGACATTTGTTGATTAATAAAAGATAATATAATGTTAAATATTTACAGCCCACTACTCCACAACAACTATCACCTGTCGAGGAGCAGGAGAAGCTCCTTGACGAAGCACTGGCAACTGTTAAGAATGAAGCATTTAAAATGAAGAGGTGCCTCGATAAAAACAAGTTGATGGATGCCCTGAAATCTGCCAGCGTAATGTTAGGGGAGTTAAGGACTTCTCTTTTATCTCCAAAAAGTTATTATGAACTATGTGAGTAGCAAATTTATTTTAATCTGTATACTTTTGTTACAAATCTCAATTTTCAGATATGTCAATAACAGATGAATTAAGACACATGGAATTGTTTTTGATTGATGAATTTCAAAAAGGCAGGAAAGTGTCTGATTTATATGAACTCGTACAGTATGCTGGAAATATTGTACCTAGACTGTATCTTCTCATCACAGTTGGCCTGGTGTACATAAAATCAAATCAAATGTTTAGAAGAGATTTACTAAAAGATTTAGTAGAGATGTGCAGAGGTATGCTTATCATTAAATATTTCAGTTGTTTTTGTATTTGAAATATTCTATATTGATCAGGTGTGCAACATCCTCTTCGTGGTCTCTTCTTACGTAATTACTTGCTGCAATGTACTCGCAATGTTTTGCCCGATGTACCCGATTCCGATTCGGATAATCCCGAGGGTACCGTGAAGGATTCCATTGATTTCGTTCTGATGAATTTCGCGGAGATGAATAAGCTGTGGGTACGCATGCAACACCAAGGACACTCCAGGGAAAGACAGCACAGAGAGAGGGAAAGAGAGGAATTGAGAATTTTGGTTGGTACAAATTTGGTACGGCTCAGCCAGCTGGAATCTGTAACACTAGAGAAGTACCAAAAGTCAGTTTTACCGGGAATACTTGAACAGGTAAGACATTGTTATAAAGATTAGTCATTGGTAAAATCAATTTCAGTTATTTGATAACATCATTTTTCAAATTCGCGATTTATAATATTAAATTTTCTTTGATTTTTCTTATAAAATGTGCATCATAGCTATAATTATATTTAATTTATAAATAGTTATGCAATTAAGCAATTTAATTCAAATTCACCTTGTAATATTGTTTTATGGAAATTATTGATACAGTCACTGAAAACTTTGCTGTTTGTGTTTTGTTTGTTCGTTTTAATTAGATACGCGTTAATTGATATCCAACATGACATTTGATACCAAAAATAGCATGGTTGCATATTTTTAAGTAAATATGTTCAGGGAACTAAAGCAATTATTGCAATACCCGTACTTCATTATAGCGCAATTTAATTTTATTTGTAATTACACTGATTTTATATTGTTTGTGATTATTTTGATTAGATATTTCGATACTAAATAGTTAAAAATATACTGATCGTTATTAATAAATAGTAATAGATTTAATTGAAATACCAATTTTATCACTATAACAATTGTGTTTTTCAATGATGATAGAAATTGTACATGACTTAAATTTTAGTAAGTTTCTTTATTATCACGTATTGTATTTCTTAAAAATAATTGATGATTTTACAGCTTTGATGTTTAAAATGTTATTTTCCAGGTGGTTAGTTGTAGAGATGCCATAGCACAGGAATATTTGATGGAATGCATCATTCAAGTATTCCCGGACGAGTTTCACATTCAGACGTTGAATCCCTTCTTGAAATCATGCGCAGAATTAGAGTCCGGTGTGAATGTAAAGAACATAGTAATTAGTTTGATGGAGCGCCTGGCAACTTACAGCCAGAGGACTGATGGTATGTCCATGGCGAACGATTCAGGAAGTCCGATGGGTGTCCCGATGGATGTTCAGCTTTTTGAGGTATTTTCCGAGCAAGTAGCTTCGATAATTGCAACCAGACAATATTTACCTTCCGAAGACATGGTGGCCCTTCAAGTGGCTCTAGTGAATTTAGCTTTGAAATGTTATCCAGATCGCGTCGACTACATCGATAAGGTGATGCTAGGTAGTGTAGAAGTGTTCCAGCGACTAGGGTTGGAGCGCATCGAGTATAACGAGTTAGTTGCGAAAGAGCTTTCCAAATTATTGAAAATCCCTGTGGATCATTATAGCAATATTTTAACTGTGTTACAATTGAAACATTACGCTGCGTTGATGCAACATTTAGATTACTACGGCCGTAAATCGTTGAGTATGTATATCTTAACGAATGCGCTCGACAGTGAGACTGTAATTCCCAGTCAAGAGGAGGTTGAGCAAGCGCTCAGTTTGGTCTCGACGTTGGTCACAGATCAGAGTGACCAACCTGCGGGAGAAGTCGACATGGAAGAGTTAGCCGAAGAACAAAGTCTCTTAGCTCGCCTCATCCACCAATTTAAAAGTGAATCCGCTGATCAGCAATATCTCATCCTAAATTCTGCCAGAAAGATCTTAGGATCCGGTGGACAGCAGCGCATAAAACATACATTACCACCGTTAGTATTCCAGGCGTATCAATTAGCATTCAAGTATAGGGATTTGAAAGCTGAGGACGATATATGGGAGAAGAAATGCCAGAAGATTTTCCAATTTTGCCATTCGACAATCACGGCGTTAGTGAAGGCAGAATTGGCTGAATTGCCGTTGCGGCTTTTCCTTCAAGGAGCTCTTGCGATCGATCAAATCGCTTTCGATAACCATGAGACTGTCGCCTACGAGTTCCTATCTCAAGCCTTCAGTCTGTATGAAGACGAAATCTCGGATTCGAAGGCTCAGCTAGCCGCGATTACTTTAATAGTCGGAACTTTGGAGAAGATCAGTTGCTTCTCGGAAGAGAATGCCGAACCTTTGATTACGCAGTGCGCTTTAGCAGCAAGTAAACTGCTGAAGAAACCTGACCAGTGTCGAGGTGTTGCCACCTGTTCTCATCTACTCTGGAGCGGGAAAACGTTGGCGAGCAACAAACAAGAGATGCACGACGGGAAGAGAGTGGTGGAATGCCTCAAAAAGGGTGTTAGAATAGCCAATCAATGCATGGACATTAGTGTTCAAGTACAGTTGTTCGTTGAGCTGTTGAACCATTACGTTTACTTCTACGAGAATGGCAACGATCAGGTCACTGTGCAAATGCTCAATCAGCTGATAGGAAAGATACGCGAGGAGAGTCCGAACCTTGAGAGCTCGGAGGAAACCGAGCAAATAACCAAACATTTCAACAATACTCTGGATCATCTTCGGGCGCGCATCGAAAATCCCGAAACCGATGGCGTGTCGTACGAGGGAATAGAAATCTGAAGAACCAAAAAATAACTAAAATTACAAATTTACAAACAGCAAATTAAGAAGAAACATACCGGATTTCTTTTATTATTTCCTAATGACATATTCTGTGTTGGTGTATTTTTAAAATTTATTTATTGGAATACGCTATAAAAGCTATATTCACTCACGATCGGTTCTCGCTTTCAAGTATATGCAAGACACAAAGTATAAATATATAATATGTATATAATGAAGTTATTTAATGATGAAATTAATAATAATGGAAAGGGATGTTTTTTTGCAAAAGACTGTATACTGAGACGGAACACTTGCGTTATATACTTTGTAGGTACAATAAACTGCTTTCCGATTTATATATTGGAGAAGTGAATTAGATTAGAAAACTGTTTGGTTTTATTTTCTTTTTATGTTCTTTTTTGTAACTACCAAAAAAAAACTTTCAATTATTTCGAATAACACGTTACAACTGCAATCGTCCCAGTGCACTCCTCAAAGCAATAGAATATTAGTTTCATAATCAAAGGAACAATCATATGGAAAAGCTGCTAAGTGTTCAAACAATATTCATTTCTCTCCACTGTTAATTAATTATGTTTTATTATGTAAGTAGATGAAAGAGTAAATATTTTTTTTAATGTAATCTTTGTATAATTTAGATGTAGACAATTATCCAAGTGTAAACAAAATTATACAATTAATTAATACTATACTATTGTTTTTAAGGATTTTAGCCTATTGTTGTTAAATTTATATTATATGTATATTGTGAACACGATTATATAAAATATTATAATTATATCTATATCAGTGCACTAAATCATTTGTCTTTTACCTAAATGTCATGTGCTATAACATGATTATTTAAACTTATTCATGTTGAATGCAATGTATTTGATGGTTTCTATGAAATTAATGTTATTAATTAAGCTGTAAACTGACTTGACTTCATTGAACAAATATGACATTAAAAATATAAAGCATTAGAGTGGTAAAATTCAGTTGATTAAATAAATGCAATAAATACAGGTTCTGCTCATACATTTGTAGCATGGGTTCTAATTTTATCAAAGTTTATTTGTTTTAATTAAATTAGGAGGTTTTAGAAAGGTGCAATTGAAGTTAAGTATCCATTAACTTCATATAAGATTTAGTTAACTAAATCATTTGCATCTAGATCAGTTTATATAAAACAAAAATAAGTTTAAAATTCTTATTTAAGTAATTCTAAGACTTAATCTACTTGAAGTGATACTTAAAGTTTTATAAGTATATTTTTATATTCTTTAGTAAATAACATAATTTGTTAAAAGTCATCCTCATATATGGGTGTTATTAATAAATTACTTACTCATAATTAGAATCTGCGCCACTTTAAAAGTTAAAACAATTGTGTAGGGATGTAACCAATGACTGATTCATTTTATTTATGATATAGACAAGGCTGATATAAATATTTTATATTTTGCTTCACATTTTCATACGAGATAAAACGCCAAACTGACGGATCTGCTATAAATAACTGAAATTATCATAAAAACATAATTTTACTTGAGTATGAAAATACTAGGTTTTGATATTAATAATAATACCCGTTAGATAAACTACAAATAATATATTTGTGATAATAATTTACATTTGTTCTATTTAAAATCACATTTCTTTGTCTGTTTTTTCGGATTTCGCGGTGACCATAAGCTCGTAGAGTTGATGGAGTTGCTCATCCCTAAATAGTTCCAATTCGCATTCATTGAGTGGTTTTCCGAGTTTCTTCGTGCCAGTTTTTGGACCTTTAAGTCCCAATTGTTCCGCTATCGTAATTGCGTAATTCTGTAAGTCAATCAGTAGCAGTCAAAAGTTCTTTCTTCTTCGCATCATTTACTCACGGTCCATTCCGACATAAATACGGCTGCTTCCTCATTTGTGCATTTTTTGTGCCTCTTAAACTCGTCCCTTGTATAACTGTTACCTAAAATCTGCAACTCCTCTGGAAGTCCTTTGTGCAGTTTGAATATAGTTTTGTACAGGAATCGAACCTTCTGTATATGCGTTTGACTAGTCATTACTAAAACAATGTATATAATTCAAGATGTTAAAATCAATTTTTATGTGTATTCAACTTTCCAAGTATAAAATACAATATAAATTATTAGTATCTGTAGAGAAAAATAATATAAAGTAAAACTATTGAAATTAATATAATTTTCAATTTAAAGAAAGGTAATAAGTAATTTAATGTAATGTAACTTTCTAAATTTTAAAAAAATATCTTATATATATACAACCAATGGTACAATCATTATTATAAACAAATTTTGAAAAGAATTAAAATATAGTTTTGAGAATATAAAAAAAATGTTATAATATAATTGCGGTAAAAATAATATCCAATTAATTAATAATTGTACTACAAAAGGATTAATATAACCTAAAAATTTTACTTCATTAATTGAAAAAATGAGATTTTTATATTAACTCGTTGCTTTTGAACATACAAAAATGAATAAAAACTAATTTGAGATGTATGGTATACTTCTGTTACTTAAATAATTTAATTTTATTAAATTAAAATGAATATTACATAATTTTAACATAATAATTTGAATATAAAATTAAAACTATATTTAAAATTAACTGTAATTATCAGATCATGACTTACTGTATTTAATATATTATTTGTACTAATTAAAAATAGTTTCTTCAATGAAAATCACATGTACACTGAGATTATATACAAGCTCCAAACATCTGTAGTTTAGTAACCTGTCAAACGTCCACTTCTTAGTAGAATTAGTAAACACAAACTGCACAAACATCTTACCTTTATTGTTATGAGATTTCATCCATTAAGTAACAATCAAGATGAGTGAAAAATCTTTTCGTTGCACCAAGAAAGGATGTCAAATGAGCTTCACTAATGAGGATAATTTTACTATCCATCAGAGGCAACACACAGTGTTCCTTAATTTAGGCCTAATTACACAAAATGAAACATCAGGTAATAAATCTATAAATTGCTTGCATTTCAGAAACTTATGATATGATTTCAGACCAAACTCCAACTCCCACCAGATTTATAAGAAACTGTGAAGAGGTGGGCCTATTCCAAGATCTGCAGAATGTGAACCCATTTGAAGAGACATTCAAAAAGGCTGTGGAACTATCAAAGAATGGCATTCAGCATAAGCCTGCAGAAAAATCAGAAGACACCACTTTACACACACCTCACATATTACCTCATATCCCAAAAGCACCTTCTCCTAGTTCAGTGAGTGACATGAGCGATGACACTGAATTCACAATGCCTGATAATGTGCTGAAAATTAAAATCTCAGAATATGAACCATCAGAGCAAAAGCAAACCTGTGACATTGTTCTACCAGCAAAAACGACGCAAAAAAATAACACTTTAAAGATTAAAAGCAATCATAATAAGATGAGAACTGAGTCAAAGATAAATATTTATGATACAAATATTCCTCAGAATGTGAGGAGAAGGGAAATGAATAGGATGGCTCAAGTACGGAGCAGGCTCAGGAAGAAACAGTTGAATGAAGTGTTTGAGAATGAGGTGAGGGAGCTGAAAAATAAGAATGCAAATCTGGAATTGGAAAATGCTAATCTGAAAATTGAAGTAGGCATTTTGAGGAGGCAACTTACACAGCAGACAAGTCAACACTTGAAAGGGAAAAAGGAGTCAAGCAAAATGGTGAACATTGTTCCTGCCATTAAATTAATACCAATTTCATCGGTTGTTGTGGCAACTAACGTTAATTTGCAACAGGTGAATGGCATAAAGATTGAGACTGCTGAAGATTGAAATAAAAAGTTTTTTTTATTATTGTTGGATAGGTATTTTCGTTAACGAAAATATCCAGAAGTTAATATATATTTTTTTTAAATGTTAAATTTGTGATACAAATATATTAGATATAAGATAAATGTTATACTATTTATAAGAAGAAAAAACAATTTATTTTTTTTATATTGTTACTCATAAATATATGGATGTCTAGAAATGTTTTTGGTATTGAATGCTCTTAGGAAACTTAATTTTGGAAACCTCGCTTAACGAGTTTAACCCTTCGAACATTTCCGGATTTTTACTCGTATACTGAAACATATTAAAAAAATACATAATGTGTTCTGTTCTGATTCCTCCACTCTATAATAGAGTGGAGGTGTGCACTTAGCTCATACCTCACAGTGTATGTAGTCAACTAAAAGAGTATATAAACAAGCAAAAAATTAAAAATATAACAATATAAAGATGAATAGACTATTAAAGACATTTACACAGAATCACCCTGCTAATGTATAAATATACAGTAAATTTATAAAAAATAACAAAAAATAATTCAACATTTATACAAACTCTTTACGAGCAGGGACCTATCAACTCTTATCACAGTGTGGGAAGGCTTCGGATCGGTAAATAAAAAGTGTTAGAACAGATTAATAATGGGTAACAAAGCATAAAAAGACAACAGAATAAACACATATATAATAAATATTCAAACAACACATCCAGAGTTTTTGACAAAATTTAAAATCAGTCTATATATCTTGATATCCTTCATCCTTAACAGGACTTCTATTGATGTTGGAAGGTAAACTTTTTGAGTGATTAGTCCACTTATGAGCACTTTTGTAGCAGCACTGTTGTTTTCACATTCAAAAAAATGTGATTAGTGGTGAATATCATCCCACAGTCACAGTGCGGTGAATCCACCAAATTCATCCTAAAAAGATGAGCTGCAGATCTGTTATGGCCCGTTCGTAATCTGCACAGAGCTGAAATTTCAGATTTCTTTATGAACTTTAACTCTTGAAACTATGGTATCATTCCCACTCTCGGATTGCCCTCGAAATAATATTTTCCTTTGTTCTCTGATCTGATTTCATATAGGTACTGCCATTTTTCCCTTTCTTCCTTGTTAATTATTTCACTGATATCCGAGAACGGAACAAGTAGGTCAGTGATATTGGCCATATGACCCTCACTCGCCAACGCATCCGCCCTTTCGTTCACAGGGATCCCAGCATGTTCCGGTATCCAGCACAGCGAGACCTCTGACCCAATACTTTCCAAGAAACTCAACCTGTCCTTGATTTGGAGAACAATATAATTTATTTTGGCTGAATATTGCGAGGAATGAATAGCGTCTAACGCACTTTTAGAGTCAGAAAAAATCACACTCTTACTCCATTCGTTTCTCTCAATTAGTTTTAGTGCCCTGCAAATTGCATATAACTCAGCTGTGAATATCGAGGAAACCTCTGGAATCCTTCCGCTCTCAGATAGGCCTTCGCCATCAATATAAATCCCATAGGCAGAAGATTTGGGGTCATGTATCACTGAACCATCTGTGTAGATATGTACATGACCAGACCACACCACATTTATGAAAAACAGGAAGCTTTGTATAAGCTGCTGCACTGGAACTTCCACATTGCACTTGTTCATAAAATCTACCCTATTCCACTTTTTGGACCGAATATTTACAGGTAGGCCAAAAAAGTCTTTGATCGTATGCTTATATATGCGGTACTCCCATTGGCTCATCATGTTAAAAATTTAAATTAAAAGGGGCATTCCCTTGCTCGGCCAGAAGGGTTTAGCTCCAAACAAAAAAGATGCCCGACGTATCGCATTTATCACAGGTGTATTCTGGATGGACATTAATTTACACATATATTTCTTAGTACTGCTCTCCCGTCTGATACTCTGGGGAACAACACCAGCTTCAACGTGTAGAGAGTCAATTGGACAGGTACGGAGGATGCCAAGTGCTATTCTCAGAGCTTTATTTTGTATTCAACATAACGTTTGGAAATCACTGATTTAAACCTTTTATTTTCAAGAACTTTTCTACATGTGAGCGTGAGAGCCACGGGGATCAATGGCATTTTGCTTAGTAGCCCTTTTTAATTTGAAACTTAAAAAAAGGCAAAAGGAACTCCTTAAAGCCGCATTTCTGGTATTGTAACGTTAGCCAATGCAAAACAAATAATCCATAATCTTAACAGCTTTAACTGTTCCAGTAAGGCTTTGCAAATTCGGCAAATATTCGCTATGTAAAACCATTTACAAAAAATTCCTACTAATATTTATGTTTTTTATCTTTCTCCTTGAAATCTATGTATTTATGTATTAATATAATAATATATGCTACATCCACAGTTGCATTAATGCAGTTTTTAACTAAATGTTTTAGTTGATTTAGGTTGATATAGAGTCTTATTAAATTGACCAATTTCTTTGAACAAAGATTGAGTAGTTGCGAAACTTTATGCTAATATAGACTTTATGTCTATAATATAGACACGTTTTATTTATTTTTAGATATTATGGTATACAAATTAATTTATTTAAAAAAAATGGCGCCTCCCCTGGTGAGCCATTCAGCTTGGAAACCGCTGGTTTAAAATAACCATAGATATGAAAAGCAAAATCATTAATAATCGAAACCAAGTTATAATTTTCTTCCGTCATAGAACGCATTATCGTATTTTACATTAGTTTATATGGGGAAAACTGTTTCACTTTACGCGTAAAAATCTTGAAATTTTTGAACGAATTATCCGAACTATCAACAAATGATGTCTGTTGGTGGCAGTTTTAAATTTGACAGATAACAGGGAACAGTAACAAATGATAGTAAACAGCGAATTTCATTTTCCGTTTTTTATTTATTGTGATTTCCTAAGTTCCTACAAAAGTTAAGTGAAACATCGGCCACGTGTATAAAAATTTGCAGCATTTGTATGGTATGAAGAATATGAATCATTCTAACATTGATATAATATTTAGGTAACTGGCATAACTGCAAGAGATGTTTTTCTTTTTCTTCCGCCTGCTTCTTTCCTCCAGGAAGAGCCTCTTCCATTTAGCTGCTTCTGTCGACGCATTATGTCAATCGCAATTTTACACTGTTGAATCTGTTGCATATGTGACCAAAAAACAGTTAGTAGCTATCAATGGAATATCTGAGGCAAAGGCTGAGAAGATCATCACAGCAGCAACAAAATTGATTCCCATGGGCTTCACCACTGCAACAGATGTTATAAAAAAACGCTCTGAAATGATACAACTGACAACTGGCTCAAATGAATTAGATATACTTTTAGGTGGAGTCATTGAAACTGGTTCAACCACAGAAGTTTTTGGAGAATTTCGAACAGGAAAGACACAATTGTGTCATACAATAGCTGTTACATGCCAGGTATACTAAAAAAAAAATATTGACAAATTCTGTTACTGTATCTCTTTTTTTTAGTTGCCTATCACTTTTAATGGTGGTGAAGGTAAATGCATTTATGTAGACACTGAAGGCACTTTCAGACCAGAAAGCAGTGGTAGCAGTAGCACAAAGATACTAATTGTGAGAACAAGCGTTTTTGATAATGTAGCACATGCAAGACCTTACAACACTGAACACTGAACAAGCATGTGCTATAATGTTTGAATTTAGGTAAATATTATTTTTAATTTGTTTGTGTTATAGAACAGATTATTCAGGAAGAGCGGAATTATCTGCTAGGCAAATGCATTTGGCCAAGTTTTTGAGGATGTTGCTTAGATTAGTTGATGAGGCAAGTTCATTTTATTTGTAGAATAAATAATTGTGTAACATGTTTTTTTTCTTGTAGTATGGCGTTGCTGTGTTAATAACAAATCAAATGGTTGCTCAAGTTGATGGAGCAGCAATGTTCAATGCAGACCCAAAGAAACCAATTGGTGGTAATATATTGGCATACGCGAGCACAACTAGATTATATATGAGGAATTTTGAATACCAAAATACATGCCTGGATACTGTGCCTGGAGTCAATACATTCAAATTTGTTTTATTGAAGTTATTATTTGTAAATTTATATAAATAAAATAGATTTAATGTATTTTTGAAACTGATGTTTCTTATCTGATGTTTTCTATTTAAGTAAAAGAGTTTAAATATTAATGATTTATGATATATTAGATCATTACAGATTTTGATATATTGAATTTAACTCATTTAATAAATCAAAGAACGAATAATTTGTTTTTATCTCTATCGAATGATGACTCATGTGTTAGGCGTAATACATAATATCAGTCTCAGTCACTAGATGGTAGCGTTTAGAACGCTACTGGAAATCTACACCGCCACGCCCTGGAGCCCAGCCAAAAAGAAATAAAAACTACTAACAACATAAAGTTCGCCCTGAGATAGACCAATGTTTTGACTTGGGGCGTCGAGGAAAAATTCTGATGAATTATATGCGCCGTAAACCGAAGAAGTTTAGAAGATAAAGAAGGATTCATGACAAAATTAAATGACGAAATAGGGGAATCCCCTGCATTTATCTACTTTCCTGTTATCTATATAAAGCAAATATATACGACGGTTTTAGAGTTGTTCCAGAATATCGTTCAGACAATATTTGTCGACAGAATGACAATGGAGTTAAGGAAATTTGTTCCATTAAATTGGAATTATGAGAGTAAAACCATTGTTCCAAGCTATGCAAGTGAATATAATACATTACGTGAAGAATTTAGAAATTTCCATGTTCAAAAAATATATCGTGTGCAAAATGTTCATAGATATAATATGTTTCTTGTTAGACAGCAACACTTGCTAGCTTTAACACCAGAAAATAAATGCTATGTGGTAAGTGATCAACTTTAAATATGTAATGCAATTATATTAAAATATGTAATTTTATAGGTTCGGAGATACGTTGGACTTACCGCGGGCCAGTTAGAGTCTGCTTTACAGCATAATCTGGATAAAAGGATCAATGGTGCATCCACTGCGTATCCTTCATTTAAAAAAGATCTTACTTATTTAACACACGACAAAGTAATCCTCGCTGTTAACGTGGTGACTACTAATGTAGATGTTGAAGATTTTATTCCAACACGGGATTCCGATTTCTACATAGAATATATTATCGAAATGCAATGAATCTAAAATTTATAAAATCATAATAATGTATTAATATTTTTTTTAATAAATAAAATTATAGTTATTTTGTGACCATATTAATCCCATGTCCCAAGTCCAGACATCCCATGTCCATAAGATTCATTATTACATCAGTAAAATTGATTGTTTACATAAACAAAACATGGAACATTATCTTCATAATTTATCTCTTAATAGAAATAAAAAAAAAACAGAATCTTGATATTTGCATTGTTTTCGTTGAAATTAATCATGTTAGCAGATGTATGAATATAGTTTTATATAATTAGATATCAAAAGCAATACAGAAATACGAATATTTGTGGCAGGGATTCCCCTAACTTTATGTACAGCAGTATATTAATGTGAAACGCAACGTAAGTAATATATATTTATGTGTGGAAAAGAATTTGATACGGCGACAGGTTCGAATTTTACAAACAATAATACAGTCAGTCCTCGACTTAAGAGATTTTAGTTTAGTTTCCAAAAGGCGGAAACCACGTGATAGTATGGTGGCCTATATTGAAAAATAGCCAGATCAGTCATACATGGTACCGTACAAACCAGAACAGCGATAAAAAACAACACGACAAAAAAGAATAAATGACAAAACAGAACATCGTAAAAATATATTAAAGTTATATAGATAACACATCTAGGGCTAAATAAGCTCAAGCTCACATATACGTCACCCATTTGTAACAAATACCTGTATCTGCACTTACAAATAATAAAACATTTAAAAAAAAACACATCTAGGTCTACCATCATTCATGATAATTAGATTATGCTGGTCTTTGGTCTGGTCTTCAGTTCTCTACCATTTCTATTTGAATTATTGTGTCCAGACGGTGGTGTCAGAATAGCCGACCAATGCGACTCCAGCATTAAAGTATCCGGGAGGATGTAGCCCGATACTACGGTTATACCTCCGAATTCACTTATCATAAATTGAATACTGGGCGGAAGTGTTTCGGAGATCTACTTTTTCGTTGTTCTAATATTCCAACTAAGGATTTTGAGATTCTTATAAAAAAACATTTTGAGTTACTCAGAACAGGCTGGGCATCTTATCCCTATTTTTTTTGCATATATTGAACATAACTCATGTACTCATGGCACTGAATCTCGCTTAACGAGCTCCTCGCATAACGAGAATTTCGCTTTACGAATGAAATGAATTGTAAGAAAAATGACTCGCTTAACGAGCGAAGTTTCGCACAACCAGTGACGATAAGTCCCGAATTGCTCGCCTGCTACATATGTGTATTTTTGAATATGTTTCACTATACTAGTAAAAATCCGGAAATTTTGGAACGAATTAAACTCGTTAAGCGAGGTTCCACCAGGTTCCACTTTAAGGTTGTGAAAACCTGTGATTATGAAACAGGGTAAATGTTTTGGGTAGATGTCGGTCCCGGACACTGTTTGCTCGAGACGAACTGGCATAACTTAATTTATGCTTCCTAAGTTTGTACTTTTATATTAACAACAATTTAACCCTGACTTAACCTGCATCTAGTTTGGATATTAGCATGGGTCCTAAGAAAAAACCAAAAAATAACCATAATAGCAAGTTATACTTTTTTTCCGCTTTCCATTATCATATTTTACATTAGGGGAAAACATATTTTGGAACGGATTATGCTCGTTAAGCGAGGTTCCTCTGTATATAATTTTCAAGTATGTAAAGTAGTCTATCTTCACCATCAACAGATGTCTGTTGGCAGCAGTTTTGAATTTGACAGATAACATGAATAACGGGACAGTAACAAATGGTAGTAAACAGCGAATTTCATTTTTTATTTTTTGTTTATTGTGATTTCCCAAGTTCTTATAAAAGATGAGTGAAATAGTATCAGGTGCTTCAACATCATCAATAATCTCTGAAGATCAAGAAGATGAAGGACAATGTGGACCCATGCCAATTTCTAAATTAGAGGCAGGTTAACTTTTATGTTTTGTCTTAACACTTTACAGGCGCATTTATGCGTTATTTATGAAACAAACTTTAATGGCTGGTTAAAAAATTACATTATTTTCTTAAAAAAAACAGCTGCCACATTTATAAAAATTCGCAGCATTTGCTACATATAGTATGAAGAATATGAATCATTCTAACATTGATATAATATTTAGGTAACTGGCATAACTGCAGGAGATGTTAAAAAACTGAATGATGCTGGATTTTACACTGTCGAATCTGTTGCATATGTGACAAAAAAACAGTTGGTAGCTATCAATGGAATATCTGAGGCAAAGGCTGAGAAGATCATCGCAGCAGCAACAAAATTGATTCCCATGGGCTTCACCACTGCAACAGATGTTTTAAAAAAACGCTCTGAAATGATACAATTGACAACTGGCTCAAATGAATTAGATAGACTTTTAGGTGGAGGCATTGAAACTGGTTCAATCACAGAAGTCTTTGGAGAATTTCGAACAGGAAAGACACAATTGTGTCATACATTAGCTGTTACATGCCAGGTATACTAAAAAAAAAATATTGACAAATTCTGTTACTGTATCTCTTTTTTTTAGTTGCCTATCACTTTTAATGGTGGTGAAGGTAAATGCATTTATGTAGACACTGAAGGCACTTTCAGACCAGAAAGACTGGTAGCAGTAGCACAAAGATACAAATTGTCAGAACAAGAAGTTTTGGATAATGTAGCACATGCAAGAGCTTACAACACTGAACATCAAACACAACTGTTAATACAAGCATGTGCTATAATGTCTGAATCTAGGTAAATATTTTTAATTTGTGGTGAGTAATTTTATTAATGTTTTTTTGTTTTAGATATGCCCTATTAATTGTTGACAGTGCCACAGCTCTTTATAGAACAGATTATTCAGGAAGAGCAGAATTATCTGCTAGACAAATGCATTTGGCCAGGTTTTTGAGGATGTTGCTAAGATTAGCTGATGAGGTAAATTCATTTAATTTTGGAATTAATAGTTGTGTAACATATTTTTTCTTGTAGTATGGCGTTGCTGTGTTAATAACAAATCAAATGGTTGCTCAAGTTGATGGAGCAGCAATGTTCAATGCTGACCCAAAGAAACCAATTGGTGGTAATATATTGGCACACGCGAGCACAACTCGATTATATTTGAGGAAAGGACGAGGTGAAACGAGGGTGTGCAAAATATACGATTCTCCTTGTCTTCCAGAAAGTGAGGCGATCTTTGCCATTAATGCTGATGGCATTGGTGATGCTAAAGAATAGTTTAAAACTTAAGATATTGTAATAATTATTGTAATATAAGTCATAATAAAATATTCAGTTAATAATATTTGTATATATTGTATTGTATATACCAAAAGTAATATATGCTACAATATTTTGAAGCAAATTTACATATGTCAATTCATTTCTTCACTATTGACTCAAATTGAGTACTTCATATCCAAACTTGCTTTGGGTTATTTTTCATTTTTTTTTATTGAACTGATGTTTCTTATCTGATGTCATCTTTTCATGCGTAAGCAAAAGAGTTTAAATATTACTGATATATTAGATCATTACAGATTTTGATTGTTATATTGAATATAACTTATTCAATAAATCAAAGAACGAATTATTTGTTTTTTATCTCTATTAAATGATAACTCATGTGTTAGACGTAGTACATAATATCAGACTCAGTCACTAGATGGTAGCGTTTAGAACAGGGGTTCTCAAACTGTGCGCCGCGACGCCCTGGTGCGCCGCGAAAATGAAAAAAACTACTATTAACATAAAGTCCGCCCTGAGATAGACTAATGTATTGACTTGGAGGGGCGCGGAAAAGTTCTGATGAATTAAATGCGCCGTAAACCGAAAAAAATTAGAAGATAAGTAAAATGACGAAATAGGGGAATCTATACGACGGTTCTGTTCAAATCGAATGCGAAAGAGCTAAGGCTTATAGTTAGATATCAACACTTGATAGCTTTAACACTAGAAAGAAAATACTATGTGGTAAGTGATCAACTTTAAATATTTTAAATATGTAGTTTTATAGGTTCGGAGATACGTACCAATTACTGCAGGCGAATTAGAGTGTAATCAATGGTGCATTTACTGCGTATCCTGCATTTAAAAAAAGATCTTAATTATTTAACACCCTACAAAATAATCCTCGCTGTTAACGTGGTGACTAGTAACAAAGTTGTAGAAGATTTTATTCCAACACGAGATTCCGATTTCTACATAGAACATATCATTTAAAATTTAAAAAATCATAATAATGTATTAATATATTTTTAATAAATAAAATCATTGTTACTTTATGATAAGTGATTATTAATAGTAAAAGTGTTTTTTTTTTACAAAGTCCAGACATAAGATTCATTATTACATCAGTAAAATTGATTCTTTACATAAAAAAATATATGAAACATTATTGTTTTCATAATTTATAGAAATACAATAACAGAATCTTCATATTGGCACATGTATGAATATAGTTTTATAGAATTAGATATTACAAGCAATAGAGAAATACGAATATTTGTGGTAGGGTTTCCCCTAACTGTATGTACAGCAGTATATTTAATGTGCAATGTAAGTAAAATACTAGAGCGAAGAAGCAGGAGGAAGAAAAAAAAGTAATATACATATATGTGTGGAATAGAATTTGATACGGCGACAGGTTCGAATTTGACAAACAATAATACTGTCAATCCTCAACTTACGCGATTTTAGTTTAGTTTCCAGGCGGAAACTACATGTAGTGTGATGGCCTATATTGAAAAAAAAAGCCAGATCGTTCATACATGGTGACCAAAGAAATCAGAACAGCGATCAAAAAGAACATGACAAAAAAATTAAATTATATAGATAACACATTTAAAAACATAAATTTATAATTAATGTTATATTTAATCTTTGTTATTTGTTTATTTCTATTTTGCTTGAACTTTAATATTTTTTTCCGACGATCATTGACTAAACAATCATCTTTTTATGTCGTGTTTTGTTTTATCGCTGTTTTAGTTTATCATGACACTGTCCAATACGAAAAACATTTGCCGGGATTTAAGGTCTCTAGAGATAGGCTAAAACTTTTACTTGGTACAAATGCTACTGGAGATTGCAAAATCAAACCATTTCTAATATACCACAGCGAAATTTTGTGTTTTCCTCGACTTACGTGATTTTTAGAATTACGCGAAAACTATTGATGGTTTTTTGCTTTTTTGCCCGCTTCGTAAAAGTAACTGTTGATTTAGAAAGCAGTCAGAACTCGACATTTGAAGACTTCTTCACACAACTACCGACTTGAGTTTCCTAGTCACATAATATTCACAGACGGTTCTCTGCTGGAATCTCCTCGCTCTATGGCTTTCTGCTGGACTATCCCGAGCCTCTTTATTATTATAGCCTGTCCTGTTGTATTCTTTTCAGATCAAAATCCCGACAACCATGATGCCGACAGTGTTAAAATCCCGATTAAAAATCATGACAGTATCAAAATATAGACAATATCAAAATCCCGACAGTAACAAAATTAAATTAGAAATTAATTACATTTTTTTAATAAAAAAGTGAAAATAAATGTTGATTTGATTTTGACAGATATATTGGTTCGTGTTGCAAATACTTGTGAATGTGAATTGCAGGCAATTGCATCACGCTAATAATGATAACGATCTTTTCATTATTCCCAAAGCTTGGAAACAATTAATCGTTGAAGTGGTGATTAACTTTATAATGAACAAAACCAATTACATTATTTCAATATTTACAATAATAAGCAAATCATATTTAAAATGTTAAACAAAAATGGCTAAATGTGACTTTTCACTAATAGTATTAATTATATTTTGTCAGTATTAAAGCATTTCATATCTTAAACTGGTTGACATAATAAAAAATAAATTAAATAATATAGTGTCATGCAAATCATTTTTAGTTTTTGTATCATGTATATGTTTTTTAGTGGCGAATTTTGCATGTAAACTATATAATTTATAATGTATTTATTTTCTTCTTTTTTGTTGTGTTTTGTGTGCGTTTTAAAGGGCAACAATGATCATTTTATACGATTACCAGAACGTGAACTGGTACGAAAGATCGCGTGTGTCCTTGCTACTAAATATATTGTTGCGAATTTCAATATCATGTCAACTAAATAGTGTGTAGAAATGTTAGTGCAGTAAAACCCGTCGCAATAGGAGTTTCGTTCGGATTGCATTTTGTCTTCAGCGTACACGGTTCAACCCAGGTGCAAATGGTCTGTGCACGGGCAGGTGGGGGTGCTCCGGTTGCCATACATGTGCTTCAATTGATACAAATATAGTGGCACTCGTTGGGAACGCGTGATTGTGAATTGCATTGCGCCAAACATGATTGGAATCTTTCTATTATTCGCATTGCCTGGAAACAATTAATCGTTTTTATTTTACTAGAGGGTGCTTAGCTTGCATTTGTTACTCAGGTTGAAGTACAACATGACATTTCGTCAAGGAGCTGAAGAGTATTACCAGAAGTTCATAGAGCTGCAAGAGAAGCTTCGAAGCAGGTAACTCGATATATTCTTGAAACTTAATTGGAATGTATTTAAAAATGTAATATTTCAGCGAAGAGGAACGTCTGAAATTAGAGATGAAGTTCAACGAAATGGTTCAAGTTACTAGGGACGAGTAAGTTATTACTATTAATTGCTTATAATGAATTATATTAGTATTTGCGTTTAGGGAGCAAATGTATTATAGGCGATTGCGTTCTCAATACAAACATTTCTTGGAAGAGAACAGTAGACGACAGGAGAGGAATGACAGGATTCTACGTTTGATGGAGCGCATCGAAAGTCGTGCTGCGATTTTGGAAGCCAAGACACGCAGGATTCAATTACTTAGGACGCAGTATCGAGCGATCCTAGAAAGGATTTCTAAAGGCGTCGAAGGCGGCAAACCGAAAGTTCAAACTAAAGATGATTACAAGGAGGATATTTTGAAGAAATATTTGGAAATGCAGAAGCAAATCCAATCTTCTCAAATTGCTGATCAAATTATGCAGTCTATACAATCCAGAAAATCAACGAAAGACTTCATACCAGAAACAAGTAACAATCGGGATAAATTAGGGTTTCAGAAATTAAATAAACTACAAAATTATAATACTACAAAAGCAATGAATAATAATCGATTCGATGATTTATTAGACGTATGTTCCGACCTCAAAAATCTTCCTATGGAAAATGATAACACTACAGTTTTGAGTAAACATATTGAAAATCTCGAGAAGCAAAATGAGTTGCCTAAAATTCCACCTACACTCGAAGCGGAAAACTTAAAGGAAAAATCAAATGACATACAAATAGAAAATCCAATTTGTGATTTATCAAAAACCGATGAAAAAGTTGAAAAAGAATATTATCAAAATGATTCAAATTCTGTTTTCAATCAGAGCGATAAGTTAAATATTGGTATTTCTGAAATAATTAATCTCAATGTTGAAAATAATGAAACTGAACTCGAAGAAAATAAAAAGTTGCAGGAGAATATTGAAGTAGTTGAAGCAATTGAACAAGATGTGCAAACATTGAATGAAGATAAGACAGTAACTAAAGTTGTTTATGAAATTTCCAAAAATGAGCTTCCACCTACTCAAATAATTAGCGAAGAAAAGCATTTGGAAGATTTTAAAGATTCTACAAATAAAAACGAAGAACAAATGAATGGATCTGATGTTATGCAGGGAATTGAAGAAAATGTACAAGAAAACATTGCTTCCGGAATTAATGATGATGTTATTGAAGAGTTGGTTGGATATATTGATAAGATTGAAACACAAGAATTGAGGAATGAAGAAAATATTATGAAAGCACAAATAATCTTAGATAGTGTGATTATAGATAACAAGAATGAATTGGACACTGAAGAGAATCAAAGAGAAATTAATGATATTATTGGTGATGGTGAAGGTACAATAGTACAAAAAATTGCAAATCATAATAGTGCAAAAATTGATTTGGTTGAGGCTAAAGAAGAGATTGAAGCAATTGTAGATGGAAATGTTGTATCTGAAGATTTAAATATTGAAGCTAAAGAAGAGATTGAAGCAATTGAAGATCAAAATGAAATGGTTGTATCTAAAGATGTTAAAGAAGTCTTAATGGAAGAAGTTGCTAAAGATCAAGTAGTGCCGATTGAGCAAACTGATTTACTTCAGTCTGATGAAAACGGTCAAGCTTATGATGCATCTGGAGAGCAATATCAGAATAATGTCAATCAAATAGAATATGGAGAAATTGAAGATCAAGATGGAAAGGTTATTTCTGAAGATACGAAAGAATTGTTAAATGAGGCTGCAGATCATATGCACTCTGATTTAGTCCAGCCTGATGTTTTGTATGACGAAAACGGTCAAGCTTATGATGAATCTGGAAACCAATATCAGTACGATAACAATTTTGGTAATTATGATCCTAGTCAGGTACAATACGACGAGAACGGCCAACCCATGGTTTACGATGAGAGTGCTTATTACGATGAGAATGGTCAACCCATTTATTATGACGAAAATGGTCAACGCGTCCAGTACGATGAGACGATGCAATATGATGAGAACGGTCAGCCGGTGCAACAAGAATATGGATATGAGAATGGAGGTGATCAGGAGGAATTCGCGGAAGGTCCAGAGTCAAGTGACATTCAGAATGTGAGCGATGTTGCGAAGGGCGCAGATTTAGACGAGAAGAAGAGGGTCAATGTGATCGATCTGCTAGAAACGGATTCGGAGAGCAGCAAGCAAGAGACGAAAGCTTCGAACGGCAGTGATTTCGACTTCAGTAACGCGTAGACGCTTTTACACCTGTATCCTTCTTAATGTTAATGAAATAAATGCGATTTACCAATAATTACGATTAGATGTTTTAATTGAAACCACACCATTCGTTGCGCAATGCATGGGTAGTAAATCAATGGTAAAGTTTCAGCAGCAGCTGGAATATTCGTGCGAGAAAAGCGAGTGCCAAAATCAATATTTTCCACAGTTTGATGCCGCGCCTCAAACACACTCACTCCCATAAAGCACTTGGGCACTACGTGCGAGCGAGTGCAGTCTGGAGAAGGAGTAGTGAATTGGAAACGAATGGTTCGCATTCGTATCCATCATTCGCATATGCAGTTCGTTTTCGGGTTTGGACTTCTGGAGGTGGTGAACGGCTACTGCGAAACCGGAAATTCAACCTCGCATCGTTCCATTCCACGCACGGTGTTTGTGGCGAACACGTCTATGGTGTTTGGAACATCCGTAGAAGTAGCTGCTGGACTTTGGTAGGACATTTCGTCGGAGGTGCTACAAGGAAAACAGCGATGGCCGATAAATACTTCAACGGAATCGGGAAGCAGAAGTATCCGATGAGCTTCTACTCGGACGACGGTGACGCCGACAAGGATCTGAGCGAATCTCATGCAGGTAGGTCAAGAACAATTGTACATTCTTCACAAGTTATTAGCATTTTGTTATTACTGCTAAGTGAAAGAAGCGTGCTTTAATCGCTTCCTCTTTTGAGGCCACTTCAGATTGCGGAACATAAACACAGCTAAATATAACAGCCGGTTCAGAGTAAACAAGATTTTCTGGAGAAGGCTTTTGGAGAATTCATACAAACATAACAATATTTTTGTTGATATTTTAAATGTTTTTTTATACAGTAAACGATATGAGCTCTAAATTATATACAAGGAAGGTCTTGTCTTTGTATGATGTACGGCAATTTAAAGAAGGTTTTGGATCGTTTAATCTTGTTAGTCAATTCAATATAATTACTTTCAAGTGAACGGAACTTTTAGTTTGTTGCCTCTCCTACAGCGAACATCGTAAATGTAACACGCATTATCGTGTTTTCCTTTATCATTATGCCTTCAATCCAATAATAATTACCAATTAACATCTTATGTTTTCGAAACTTAAACATATTACGAAACTTTATAATTTATATTGGCAATAAATAAAATCACGAGCGGTCATATCTCTTACCCGATTATTGATTATTAAAAAAAAGCATTTAAAGAACCCATTTGTTTTTTATTAAACCACAACTATTTAAATAAATACAGTAAAGGGAAAATAATTGTATAATTTTCATATTCTTGAAATATTTCTAAAAATTATCTACTAATAAAACATAAATATTTTGAAGATGATTCATGGTTTTTTGTTGTTGTAAAAAATAATCCATTCTAAATAGATTCTAAATAGACAATTACCAAATAATAAATAATTTAGTAATAAATATCCATGAATTTTATCTTATATTATAATAAACAATAGTAATTATATGTAATTTATAATAATATTTTACAAATAATTATTATTAGTAAAATTACATAGGTTGATTATATTTTGTTTAATTAATTGCAATTATGTGATTGAAATAATAATAAACATAATTTATTATATACATACATATAAAGGGCTAGTGACCATTGATTGTTGTTTTTCAGTATTTTATTTCTTTAAGGTTTTGTGTATGTTGCAAATCCAGTCGTTTCAAATTTTCCACCCCAGTGATATTTTCAGTATTTGGTACTTTTATTTAGTTAATTATAAGCTGACACGTATATTATATATTCAATGCAGCTTTTCTAGTGAATCGCGTTTTGTCTGTCAATCTAGGTTAATCTTCTATTTAAAATCACCGACGTTAGGCATTTTTCGTTTTAAATAGTGACTGAAGGATAAAAATAGCATATTATATCGTAATATACGTTTATTTTGTCCAGTATTTCTTGGAGATACTAGTGCAGAAATTATTGAATATTCGTGAAAACTTTGCAATATATTTTCCATATTTTGTAATTGTATTTGTTTTATCTTGTACAAAATATGACAGAAGATATACTTTGTTTGTTCGTATTTTAGTAAACATTTTTTTATTAATATATATTTATAGAATTTAGCAATAAATAATTCTTCTTTTTAATTAAGTTTAAATTTAAGTTAATTTTAAATTTTCAGATATATTTATTTATATGCAAGATTTTTACAATAATTATATTATGCAATTGCTTGAATTATTCGTATGCTAGAAGAATTAATTTATTCTGTTGAAAAATATTTTTCATTATTAAAACAGAGCTCACGAGAAATTTTAGGGGCTACGATAATTTTTCGTGCCCACAAAATAAATATTGAAATTCGAATTCCAGAATATATATTTTGTTGTTAAAATAAGTAAACGAAGCGAAATGAAGCCCCTTTTAATAAACTAGTGTTTATGGCCCATGACAACCCTAATAATGCCATGATAACAGTAATAACACTGTGAATAACATAGCTTATAGCTATGTCATCAGTTAAATTTATTGAATATAATTTACACAAAACATACATTAATTGTTTTTATATAGCAAAGTAAATAATTCTTTATTTAATTATTTAAATAATATATATTGTTACACATTATCAAATAAAAGTAATTAAAAAATATTTATATAATCTTAATAATAAAATAAAAAGCTTGAACTATTAAAAACGTTTGTTGATAGGTCTTTTCTGTTTTATAATATTTAATTACGTAATCATATCATTTTACGTAATCATATTTTTTTTTATAATTTAAGAAAAGTTTTTGTTCTGAAAAATCTTCTAAAATAGTATCAATATCCAACTGGCTTACTTCTTGACTCTCAATCGACATAATTGCTAAACTGTTTAATCTATCTTGAGTTATTGTCGATCTTAAATAGTTTTTTTTATAAGTTTTAATCTAGAAAATGACCTTTCTCCAGAAGCAACGCTCTCTGGAATTATTAAATACATTCGAAGGGCAATAAATAAGTTTGAAAATGTTGTAGCTCTGTCCTTTTCAGATAAAAATTCAAACATTTTAAATGGTCGTTGAAAATATTTTGATGAAGGAATAGATTTTAGAGCTTCCATTTCTTCGATTAACCATGTAAATCTGCTTCCTTTACAATATCAATAGATGTATCATTAATTTTAGAATCTGTCAGAGCAATTTCTAAATGCAGCAATGTTTTTTAGTTCTTCTTTTTTCATATTTATAAACCTTGTGCTGTTGATATTTTAAAATATATACATTTTGATGTTCCGCGGGGCCATACAAGCGCGGGGCCTCCCTTTAAAATAAAATTTATCGATGTCCACCTACAGGTTAAGGATGTTATGATTATCTAAATCTAACTGAAATAAACAAACCCAACCTAATTGAAATGACCAAACCTAACCCATTTGAAATAAATTGACCTAATATAACTAAAATAAGTTGATCTCACCTATGTGAAATAACTAAACCTAATCAAACTTAAATAACATAACTGAAATTTCCAAACCCGGAAAATCGAATAGTCTAACTCAGCGTTTCCCAAACTTTTTCAGTGTGCGCCCTTAATATATCAGAATTTTTCCGCATCGCTCCAACTCAAAACACTGGTCTATTGAACTTTATGTTAATAGTAGGGTTTCTTCAATATACGTGTCTTAGAGTTTGGGAATCCCTGATCTAACCTAACCTTTACCATGAAAGCTAGTATATTTTTTATTGTTTTATTTCCGTCTCTTTTTTTTTCGATATAATGAATTTTTACATTTAAGGTTAATTATTTTACCTAATTATAACTTAATCTAATTATTTAATTTCTAAATATACAAAATGAAGAAATCAAGGTTTTGGTTTGTAATTTATAAATGCTTTAAAATTAAATTAAATATAAATGTAGATTTTATGGAAACTTCTATAATATTGTAATTGATATAATACAAACATTGTAAAGTTTAGTAGTATTAAAAACTTTTTAAAATAGCAGCTTTATTTCTTTAGATTCTTGAACTTTAGTTCTTATTCTAGTTTAATTTAAATATTGACAGTATTGTAAATGTATATGTGGATTTTATTAGTGCCAAATTGGCATTCATGGTACTTCAAAATGATTTATGAAATTTGCAATATTTAATAATTGTATTGCAATTAGTAGTCATGGACTTGCAAATCGAGTGGAAATACCCATACAACATAAATTCTGAGTTTGTCTTCTTTGAATTGAGCGGAATTCTCAAAAGATCAGACCAATAAATAGTAAAAAAAAACTTATGTGAAATAACTAAGCCTAACCAAACTACAATAACATAAATTAAATATCTAAACCCAATATATAAAAACTGAAATAGTCTAATCTAACCTTTACCATGAAAGCTAGTATATTTTTTATCGTTACGGTCCTAATTTCGTCTCCTTTTTTTTATTGACATAATGTTTTTTTACATTTGACAAGGTTAATTATTTTACCTAATTATAACCTAACCTAATTATTTAATTACTAACTATACAAAATAAAAAAATCAAGGTTTTGGTTTTACTCTCGGTTTGTATTTTAGATACTTTAAAAGTAAATGAAACATAAATGTAGATTTTATGAAAAATTGTAATAACATTGTAATTCATATAATATAGATATTATAATGTTTTGTCGTGTCCCAAGGATGGAATTCTGGACACAGTGGAATATTGTCTGGTGTTGTCGTTGTGGAGTCTCATTTGTAGGAATTAAATAGTTCAATTGGTTTTAAACAAGTTTATTATAATAATTGGTACTCTTGGGGTCCTTTCCAAGACAATCTAGATACTTTAAAAGATTGACTAAAACTAATTCTAAATACTTATTCTACTTACAAAGTTAATTCTGGATATCTGTAGTTCGTTAATACACTATATTAACAATAACAATTATAATAATAATGGTTGGACACAACAGTTTAGTAGTATTAAAAACTTTTTAAAATAGCAGCTTTTATTCTTTAGTTTCTTATTTTAGTTTCTATTCTACTTTAATTTCAATAATATAACAGTATTTTATAGTTTATTGAGAATTGCACAATATTGGCATTCATATAATGGATATATGGTACTTCAAAATCATCTATGAATTTCGTAATATTTAATAATGGCATTGCAATTAATAGATGAGTCACGGACTTGCAAATCGAGTGGAAATAACCGTACAACATAAATTCCGAGTTTGCCTTCGTCGGATTGAGCGGAATTCTCAAAGGATCAGACAAATAAATAGTAAAAGTGCGATCAATACATGCAGTGTATAGCTGACAGGAGTCGTTGACTTTTATCGATGACAGTGAATTGGATTATCGTTGCGTCTCATTTCAAAACAGTGATCAAATTCGTCGTGTGCATTTCGAGCGCGATTATTAGTATTTTCTTGTAGTTTTGTTTTGTTTCGGAATACGATATACGTAGGTTCGAACCCGCGACGCAAGAGTTCCGACCGTCCTTGACGGATCCGTGTAACAGGCAATCGGTTATACAACGAATGTGTATTGTACATCGGACGAAACAAACGGCGCATAATCATGTGATAAAAAACATAATGTAAACAGAATCGCGAAACCAAATTCCTCCTTGAGTAGTATAGAATAAGCATTACTTTGTATCTGGA